GTTCTAATGTATGTCTAATTTTATTTGTCTATTCCATTTCATTTGATCCAGGCACCAATAAACTATACCACTTAAATTATTGTACCTTTAAAATAAATTTGAGTATCAGTATTAGCAGACATCTTCTCTCAATAATGTCTTTCAGACATCCTCCCACATTTATAATTCTAGGTTTTTCCCCCCAAAAAATCATGTATAACAGTATGCTGACAGAATAAAGAAAGAACAAATAAGAATTATTATAGACAGGCTTTCCAACTTCTACCAGGACATACGCCCAAGAATTGTTTGAAACTTACTCCAGTTGCCACTCGAATATTTCCTGATGGGGGTCGTATTCCAGAAGGAGGTCTTCCAGGCAACCCAATTCCACCACGAGAAACAGGGCGAGCTGCTGAAGGTTTGTGATTACTGGCCATTTGTTCACTTTAACCACTATTTGGAAACAAGAAACAGTTCAATTCTCCTTTGTATTTTCTATAGCAAGACAATGGAAATCCACATACCTTTCCTTTGAACATTTAATCCACAGTAACTTTTCTTGCAAATTGCCATTCCAAGTACTACTTCAAGGCTAAACCTGCTTCATTTCGTTCAAATTTGACATTATTACATTTAAAATGGAACCATGAAATCATTTACTATAATATGCCTTCCTCAGTTCCCTATTTTCTTACCAAAATGCAAGGCCCTGTCTTGAGCTCTTCCCATATTCTAGTAAAATTCTCTTTTCCAACATATCCAGCTTTGTTCTCCCCTATTTCTTCTCTGCGCTCTCGGTCTATGATTCACTCCCTTGTATTCTCAATTCTATTATCAAATACTTCATTTTACTCTTTGCTTTACCAGAATCCCAACTTGTCCCAAAAACACTTTCAGTAGTAAAGGCTGTTTTAGCTTCTCAATCCGCAAATCCAAAGGAAGGGGAGGGCACAACACTTCCATTGCTCCCCAGTGTCACTTTCAAAATATTACTCTTTCAAATCTTATTAAAAAAAAAAAATGAACAAGACTCTCTTCCTTTGCCATGGAATGCAACCTTATTGCCTTGGATCTTTTCTGGTTGCTTTTGCTTAGGGACCACCTCACCTTCCCCCACCCCGCCCCCATCTTCACTAAAGTCTTTTGTACCTAGCTCAGTCTCTCTTTTTCAGTCCAACCTATGTCCTGGATGAATTCCACGGGGATACTGTATTCAATACCTAACATTCAAGGTCACAGTTTCCAGACTTAAATTTCAGTAACCATTTCTCTCCATTTCAGTCATCTATAGCTGTGGGTAGACCTGGAGCTTGTCATCACCTGGAATTGTTTCACTTCAGTATCAACTGAAATACTTCATTCTCTGATCTTAGTCTCCTCTTTATACCAGTCTCATCTTTATTCTCACTACATCTCCCTTTAAATCAGTTCTTTAATTCACTCATTCTCTCCCAGTTTACCAGCCCCCTCCTTTGCTCATCAGAATATATTATTTAAAGTTTGGCTGATAATTTAGAATAGCATTTTTCACATTATGGGTCACGACCTATTAGTGGGCTGTGAAAACAATTTGGCAGGTTCTGATCAATTACTTCAAACATGAAATAAAAAATATGAGTTCAATGCATAAAGGAAGAGTATTATTTCATTAAATTTTGTTTCAGTTATCTTTACATAAATTTTCACCTTAGTGAAAAAATATTGCTAAAAAATGCTAGCCATCATTTAAGCAAGTCCTAATCGCTATTCACAGACGACTATAACAAATAGAACAGTTTGAGGTATCACCAGAATTACTAAAATGTGACAGGCAAGAAGTGAGCAAATGCTGTTGGGAAAGTGGTGCTAGTAGCCTTGCCTGAGGCAGGTTTGCCACAAACCTTTAATTTGTAAAAACAAAAACAACACAGTATTTGGGAAGCTCAAGAAAAATGAGGAATGACCGTTGTCAATGTAAAATTTAAGTCTATTACTCTAGCTTTCCCGATAATTTCAAGAAAATGTACCATATATAACACTTCCACCTGATTGCCACTGCCTTACTGTCTTGGAAAAAGCTTAGCATTAGATGAGTCCCAGAAGGTAAAATAAAAAGGGTCACTTTTAACAAACATGCCATTAACTCCTGGGTCATTCACGCAAACATTCACGCCATCTCCACCGTTATTCACATAGAGAAGCAGCCTGGCCTTTGGTTCCAGAAAAACGAGTGACGTAAACTTTAGCTCTGACTGTTACAGCTATATAATCCCCGCTGGATGTTTTTCCTCCTCTGTAGGACCCAGTGTGGCAATGAGCCTGTACCTTGCAGAGCTGTTGTGAAGATTACAGACACTAGATCTAAAATATCTGCCTCCTAATTATTGCTACATTATCTTCCCTAAACCAGCCATTTTAAAATACATGAAGAAGTGGAAAGTTGCTCATACGAGACAGAAATCTGTTACTTTAAAATCCTTCGGCCCACAGTGAATTTTCTTTTTGAGGTTCTGGATTTTTTCTCTCTGGTCTCGCCTTGTCAGGTTTCTTCAGGGGACTGTCTGAGGAGGTCTCTCCACAAGTTTTGCGGGACTGGAGTCGGACTTCCCTAGCCTGGCGACATGCTGGGGAGAACAACTAAGAGTGGAAAAGTTCGGGTAGGTCTTCTTTGGAGCGGACCGGGTTCTCCAACGTGAGAAAACCGGTTCCCGAGGGACTGAGGGAGGGATAGATGAAACCCGGAATTTCTCACCTCCTGCGTCGCCTCAGGAAGGAGATCGCAGCGGTCACGGGAGTTCCAACTACTTTCCGAAGCCGCCGCCCCGGCGGATCCCACTAATCTACCTCCGTAACCGTTACCTCATTCGCGACTCCTCAGCTCGCCCTCGCGCAGCTTTCCCGGACCCTCGGACCTAACCACCGCCAGCCCGGCGCGACTGCGTATCCCGGCAACGGGGGCGGGGCGGGGAGAGAGCCCTCGTCCTGATTGGCCAATCTTCAGCCTCGGCTGGTAATCACAGGCGAGGCGAGAGTAAACTGCTCTCGCGAGATTGGAGGGCTAATTTTTGTGGCGGAATACCGCGGTGCTTTTCTGGAAGCCACAGAAAACCACGATTTAGCAGAGAAAGAACATTTTATTGGAAAACTTTAGTGTTCTTTATAGTTACAACAACCTCTCTCATAGTGTGCCCTACCTGAATTCACTCCTAGCGAGTTTTATTATATCACTATGTTACCTCACATGCGCTATTATTTTTAGTAAAAACTAAAGTTGTTTTTTTGTGGTAGGCAGCTTGTAGGATCTTTTTATTAGAGGCAGTTTTCCTTCCTGTTAGAACTGCACAACGCATACGACATTATAGATGTGTTTCTCGTGCCATCTATTTCTTAAATGGTTGGAAGTTTTCTATCTTTAAGCTTCCTTTCAGAGTTCTTTTGATCAAAGTTTGTGAGAAAGGATGAATTAAAAGGACAGTGTTCTTGAAATATTTTAGTGTCAGTATTTTTTTTTAAAAACCCACACAGTGTAAGAACTACTTCATCTCAAATCCCACCTCTCTAGTGAAGTAACTAGTAGTTTGCTTTCTTCCAATCTTCCTATAGAGTTAATGTGATTGCTGCTGTACTCACAACCTACATATATATTGGACTTTTAACACTGTTTACATTATTTCCAAGTTGCATACATTATTTATATCCAGATTTATTTTCTAATATGCCTGCCTTCAAATAATTTAAAATGAATCCAACAGAAAATGAAATAATGTCATGTGGCTAACTTCTCACTTCAAGTTTGTTAGATATTTTTATGTAATTCTCCCATTTGAGCCCAGCATATTTGTAGTGGTCATTTATTATCCTTTTGGTCACTGTAGTGAATGGTAGTAGCATTTGCCACTCCAAAATATGCCACTTTCGTATAAGGATTATTTTGAGCTCAATGCAATTGGAAAGTAGATACAAGAAAATCTACCATTCCCCTATTTGCCTAAAAGCAGGACATAAATTTTCAACGGTGTCCCTTCTTGCGTCTCTCTACCAGGAAGGATAAAAGTCATGGAAGACGATTTCAGACCTTTTGTCAGCCTAGAGGCTACACGGAGAAATCTACATAACACACTTTACTAACTTTAGCTCCCCATATATTTGCCTCTCCATAATTTGCTGCCTCGAAAGACTTAAGGTCTAGAGACTTAAGGTCCTTTTCTTTTCTTCTGTAGATACTGTTCCTTCGTTAAGATATTATATAAGCCTAGACTCTAGCCACCTCTTTGAGTACTCACCTCTAAGTTTCTCTTGTATGAATGTGATATACATATTAATGTTTGTTTTTCTCTTGTTAATCTTTTGTTACAGCGCCCCCACGGAAAGCCTAGAAGGGTAGAAAGAAAAAAGATTTCCTTCCCTACAACCTCTGTCCAAGTGCTCCATATACAAAATTGTCTGGGAGAAGCTACTGACCTGGAGCTTTCTCCCTGAGTGCCTTCAGACATAGGGGAGGGGGACCCAGCATTTGGCATTTGTATGAAGATGTCACAGTTGGGAAAAACGTCTTAAATCTTAGAATGGCTTAACGCATGAAATATTTTCATTTTTTAGTGTACCAAGAACGCAGCTTAGTGTTCACAGGATTTAAGGCAAACGATTGATTACAACTTGTCCCTAGCTCTCTCGTTTTAACTAAAAACAACGTTTAGTTTGTGAAAATCTCCGGGGACTGCAGAGTAGGTTTGGGGAATTCAGGGCTAAGGGGCCCTGACACAAGGACCGAAGCAGTCTTTCTCAACCACAAGGGAGCGCGCAGCCCCTCAGTTCAAGATTTAAAATATCCGGATTCGGCGCCCCTGCGGCTCACGTCCCGCTGGCGCGTGGCATTGTGGGATTTGTAGTCCCAGCCCACACATTTTACCGCAATAAGCAGTTCAGCCAGGACTCGGAGACGACTCGGACTCGGAAAGGATCTGGATTAGGGCGATCGGGCGACACAGCCGGACGTTAGCTCTAACTTGGCTGGCCGTCCGAGGAGTGGAAGGGAAGCGAACTTCAGCTCGGCGTCGCCTCCGCAGCTGGGACGCACACGCTTTGCGTCATGGCGGGCTGAGACAGATGATGAATTCCGGTGTGCATGTCAGGGTTGCTGTGTCACTCGGCCCGTTCGGCGCTCCCCTTTCCCGTTGCCCTTCCGCGCCGGCTCTCGGGCTCTTCCGGTCCTCAGCAGCCCGTCACCTGCAGGCCCCTCGCCCGCCGCGCTCGGGCGCATCCCCGGCCACCCCTGCGAACTGATCTCGCGCGGCGCGTGGGTCCCAGGCGCCGGACGGACGAGGGCCATGGCCAGCGGCGCCGCCAGGTACCGGCTGAGCTGCTCGCTCCCAGGCCACGAGCTGGATGTGCGGGGCCTGGTATGCAGTCTCTATCCGCCGGGGGCCTTTGTGTCCGTGTCCCGAGACCGCACTACCCGCCTCTGGGTCCCAGACAGGTGAGCGCTGCGAGTCCGGGGACTCCCACCACCCATCCCCGCCTGTGTTGCAAGCTTCCTACTGCTAATGGGAAGGGAGGGACGCTTCCTCGATGTTGTTCTGCACTCTTCCCGGCCTTGACTCCAGTCTGCGCTCCCTCCCAGTTCTGAGAGCACTAGTACTGTGGGCTCACACTGTAAGAAACCTGTAAGATTTAGGGAGGAAGAACACGGCTTTCGGTTAACAGAGACGTACATTCTTGTCCTAGCGGGTAACAGAGACGTACATTCTTGTCCTAACTTAATCACTAACGGATGGGTGACCTTGGACGAAACTCTTACCCTTTGGGCGATGATTTTCCATGTTTCTTTTAGATTTGAAAATTTACTGATGCTAGGTGCATTCTCCCTAAATGAGATATTGTGAAACGTCTGACTTGTAATTGAAGTAAATCCTGTTCTTTCCCTAGAATTTGCTCTGTTCTTCGAATTTAATTTTTGAGAACTTCGGTTCTCAAAAATTGCGTGCAGAAGGTTGCATTGGCTCCTCTACTCATAGTCGAAATCAGAGTTTCTTAGTCTGTAGTCTGGGGTGGGCCTAGATGGAGGGGAAGAAGATTTTCACATGTTATATGGATGTTTGGGGATGTGCTATTTTCTTGAGAGAAAGCCATTTGCCTTCAAAAGATTGTCGGAGAGATTAACCAAAAACAGAAATTAAGGAACAAAAGGTTAAGCTTAGGTCCAAATCCTGTTCAAGGTGTCAGTTCTTTTTTGTCTGGTTCTTACAAGAAATTTACGACCTGGGAGACATAGTTCAGTTCAGAAAGAGAAAACTTCTGGTTATTTACTTTGATATGTAGTAAGTCCCCCATTGGTATAGGTTTCACTCAGTTTGGGTAACCATGCATAAATTCAGGTCATAACTGTTGGTTGAGTGCCTCCTGTTTGTTTACAATCCTGAGGAAGAGTAATACAAGAGACAAGTTCCCTGTTTTTATGGAGCTTTCTTATAGTCTGGAAGGAAAGGTGGATCAGAAAAAAAGGTAATTGTTCATTGGCATATGTACTATGAAAAAAGCAAATATAGATAGAGAATTGAGTGGAGGGATGTTAAAGAAGGAAGGCCCTTCGAGGAGGGTTTCAGTTTTGTTTTGTTTTTTAAAGCTGACACTAAGATGGACCTGCTCATGGGAGGAAAGAATGAGGAGGGATAAATTCTAAGAGCTCTGTGGACAGTAGGAGGATCAAGCACAGAGACCCTGGATTAAGAAAGAGGCAAGTCCCTTTGTGCGGGAGGGAATGAGTTCGGAGGGAACCAGATGCTGTGGTATGAGCGCTGCTAGAAAGTAAGCAGAAGCCTTCAGTGAGTATCATACAGGGAGCAGCATGATTTGATTGACTTGTTGAGAAGTTCTGCTAGCTGCTGGTGGAGATTGGATTGCAAAGGGATAAATGTGGAAATAGATCTGTTTGGCGGCTTTTGCTGTAGTGCAGCCAATACATGGTGATAAAGAGACTAGAAATATTGCAGAGCAACCTCCTGTATTGAATTGAATGAGATGATCTCTACAGGTCTCTTTTACCTCTAAGATTCTGTGATATTCCAAATCACTTAGTAACACTAATACATTACTTTTGTGTATTTGAGTGTGACCACTGATTAAGCTTATATCTTTAAAGTTGAGTTCAGTTAGAAACATATACCCAGTCGGATATAAACATTGCAGCAAGGAGTAACTAAAGGATGCCTGCTGTCATAGTTGAGTCCTGTCATTAAACTTCACACATTTGGTAGGCCCCTGCTAGGTGGATAAGAGCTTAAGTCACTGGAGCATTTGCATTTTTTATGAACTTCAGGAATTTGAGGCTGAGATCATCTATGTGGAAAGTAGTCGAGCAAAAAAATTTTTTTAACTCCTGTTTTTTTGTTTTTGGTTTAAAAATCATTCATGAATGTATTCAGCTAACACTGATTGAGAGCCTGCATTGTGCCACACACAGTACATAGTGGGTGATTAGTGAGATAAGATTGTTTTATCTCTCATTTCCAACTGCTCAGAGTAGGGCATCTCATAGTCACTGGCTGATGAGTCTTTTCTACATCCATAGAAAAAGTGTCCTCAACGCTGACATCCTGACAATTTCTATTTCATGGTATGTTAATAAAGTAAATGAACTGCTAACATTTTTGCGGCCAAATAGTAAATAAAAATTGTTTTCCCAAGTGCATTGTTAATAGAGTTCTCTATCAGGGTGGTTAGTATACAGATGGATTGGGAATGATGGGAGAATTTAATTTAGTTTTAAGGAAGCAAAATAGTTATATGCACTAAACCAGGTTTACTGTGTCTTTCGCAAAGCCCCTTGAAAAAACTCTCTGGGCCTTCTGAAATCTCTTCAGAATGGAGACATTATTTTTTGATTGTATATTGAACTGAACCAGTCAACATGCCATTATTCCAGACTGCTTCAGGCTTCTCTGTAAGCCCACTTCAAATTAAACTGGATTTCTCAAATCTGTTACCAACTGTTGCATTGCCTTTTGAAAACTATCTATATTTGAAAGAATCAACTTCAGATTTAAGGTTGTGTTTTAAATCTTCACTGACCATGCTGAGGTTGAAATAACTTCTCCCTTGTGTAAACACTCAGCACTTTGGGACCTAAGTGCAGTAGTTCCCTGGGGTTTATTGAGAAATCAGAGCCATTCTCTTCCTAGCCCCCAGTTTCCCTTTCTTGGGGGCAAAATTTTTATCTTTTTTAACTGCTTATTTTTTGTGTTTTACTTCTGTGTCTATGTATAAAGTGCTTAATGCTGTTTCTTTTTATTTTTTAAGTATTTTAGGCATTTTCTATTCCTACAGTGGAGTATTAGAATTTAGCTCTTTCTGCACCCTGCCAACCCCCATCACATGTGCATCTTTTCTATGCTCTGACTCTAATAGTTAACCTTAATTTAGACAAAATCAGTATCTTAATGACTGTATAGAGTCTATTTACACTGGAGCTGTGGAATAAACTATAATAACTTTTCCTCAGTCATTTTATGATCTCCCTGTAGCTAATAAGTGCCCTGTTTTAGGTTTTCATTTGCTTCATTTTCTATGTATTTATCACCAATTTAACTTCATATTCTTTGCTAGTTGTCCAAGTCTCTTCTCAAGACCTTTTAAACACTCTGGATATTTCAGTTTTATCTTGCTGGCAATGAAAATTTTCTGACCCTAGTCTGTCTACCCCTGGTACACAACAAATCCCGAAATCTCCCTTCCTTGTGCTCTCCACAGTTCCTTCTTTTTGGCCTCCTGTATTGGATTTCTGTTATCTCTATCCTTTTACTTTCTTAGTTTTCTTTCCTGATGCCTTTTTGGAGCATATTTTTCAGGAGCTTCCTGAAATACAGTGCCCTGGTGATAAATGTATTAAGACCTTGCAAGTCTGAAAATTATTTTATTCTGCTTGCTACTTGAATAATAATTTAAATGTTTGTACCATTCTAATTCCCAGATAATTTTCCTTCAGAATTAAGGAGCAATTGCTCCATGGCATTTTAGCCTCTGATGTTACTGAGAAGTCTGAAACCAATCCTTTTCTGGAACTTCTAATTCAGATATTGAACTTGTTTCTGAATTTATTCTCTCTCTCTCTCTCTGCTGCATTCTCTCAGAAATTGCCTTAACTTTTTGTGAAATTATGTTCTTTTTCCATAGTTGCAATATCTTCTATCTCTAAGAATAATAGTGAAGGGGGGCGCCTGGGTGGCTCAGTAGGTTAAAGCCTCTGCCTTCAGCTCAGGTCATGATCCCAGGGTCCTGGGATCGAGCCCCGCATTGGGCTTTCTGCACAGCAGGAGTCTGCTTTCCTCCTTTCTCTCTGCCTGCCTCTCTGCCTACTTGCGATCTCTGTCAAATAAATAAATAAATAAAATCTTTAAAAAAAAAATTCAGAATAATAGTGATGATTTTTTTATTTTTAAGTTTTTTTTTCTTAGTGATCTGTTTCCTTCAAATTGGTTCCCCCCCCCATTTATTTTGATCGCTATATTTCATTGTAAAATGGGCTTTCCCTAGATGTCTGTTAATCCTTATTTTGTACTCGTTAAGAGTGGAAAACTAAAAAGAAGCTCCTGGGTCTGCTCACGGTTCAGACTTGCTGGCTGTGAGCTTCATTGTAAGGTTATCTGGATGGACCATTTCATTGGACTGATCTCCTGCCTCGAGAATGAATGCCCTTGTGAATGTACATGTTCCTCATACCCCAAAGCTCAAATATGCCTTGTGTCCTTCCATTCAAAGATTTTAAGCTTTTCTAAAGAAGAAAAGTTGAGGCTTTTGCTGGGTGCAAGAGGGGCAGTGTCTGGCTGGTGTATCTGGCTGTTTTTGTTGTTGTTGTTGTTGTTTTTCCCTTAACACTGGTATTAAGTTTTTTTTTTTTTTTTTCATCAGTTCAAGAAATAGTTAATGCTTACCACATATAACATTGTGTTAGGAGATTGGGGAGATAAAAAGAAGAACTGGATCTGGATTTTGCCTTTCAGAACTTCATAGACCACTAAAGAAGATGCACATAAACATCTATACTGGGAAGTGCTGAGAGTCACAAAGTGTATTTAGTGGTTTATATAATCCATATTTTTAAACATGTCCTGTCTTTTGGATTTCATTAGGCCTCTTGATAATGCTTTCTAAGAGCACTTTTTTTCAAAATGCAGTGGATAAGTTAAAAATAGCTACTACCAAATACCTTCCTTTGAAGATTTTTTCATATGATTCAGCTTTCAACTGATTCTGAAGATTTTCAGTAGTCTTCCTTATTCTAGTTCCTACCCTTTTTTGTCCCTATTTCTAGATAGTGCTGCTAACATTCTTGAGGTTTTTGGGGATTCATTGGTAGACTGGTCCTCTACTTCGCCTAATACCTACTTAGAACTCAATTCTCTCAGGTTTCCTATAGCCTTTACTATTTTTCAACCAGCTTTTAGTATTCAAAATACTATTTCTGTTTCTTTTCTTCTCATTCTTCCTGGCCTTGTGCTTTTCTTTAAAATGTGTGTGTATTTATGTTTATGTGGGAGTCTTTTATATGCCGTTGACCTATCTCCTTCCACTACATTGCAGACTTTTTGATTTAGCTTGAGTCGGGGATGTAATTATTTATATTGCTCTCAGCCGCTAAGTTACTGCCTTCCACATAGTATATTGTAATCTGTTTGACATAGTAGCTAAGGCAGTGATGCTGAGTGACTGAAGAGTAAAACAAATTGATGACCAACCTTCCTTCTTTCCTTCCTTCCTTCTGGTAGGCTCCATGCCCAGTGTGGAGCACAACACAGGGCTTGAACTCATGACCCTGAGATCAAGACCTGAGGTGAGACCCAGAGTAGGACACTTAACTGACTGAGCTACCCAGGCACCCCAGAAATTGATAATCTTTCTAATCCCAAGATAGTTATTAATATGCTGTGTCTCTACAGCACTTGTTTTTATATCCCTTTATTCCCTTAGTTTGCATATTGAAAAGATTGATAGTTTAGCTATTTAGATATACATACTATACTAATGGGTACTAAGTTAATGTTTCATAGTATGAAAATACCCTCATTGGGTTTAAGGCTTATCGATAGTAGATTCCATTATCCTAATTGCATGAATGTTTCACTTCACTAGGGATTTCTAAGGGTAACAGTCACAAATGAATAGAAATAAAGATGGAATATGAGAAAAAGCCATTTACGATACTTGTTTCCCTCCCTTTCCTTCCTTATTCTTTCTGTTAATTAACATGCTGTTCTCAGTGAAATACAAATTAAACTTTGAATTTGATGTGAATCTCAATAGTAGCTAATAAAATTAGATATTTAATATTTAACTTAAATCATATCTTAAAGTAATATGTACTATAAAGTTCAACCTAATAAACACTAAAAGGAAGCGAGTACTTTGGCAATTCATCTCATGTCCTATGCCAGTTAAGGGGACGGTGTATGTCTTGTTAATTACCACATCTTTCTAGTCCTAACAGGGGCTTTACGGAAATGCACTGTATGAGTGGCCACTCCAATTTTGTATCTTGTGTATGCATCATACCTTCAAGTGACATGTACCCTCATGGACTAATCGCCACTGGAGGAAATGACCACAATATTTGCATTTTCTCATTGGAAAGTCCAGCACCACTTTATATACTGAAAGGTCACAAGAATACTGGTGAGTATAATGCTTTGTTTTTTTTCTATTTGAAGAAGTTTCATCCTTTTGAAAGTAAAATTCACATATCTGTATTCCATACTGTTATATGTTTGTTTTACTTATGGCTGGGGCTTGGTAGTGAAAACCTTTTTAGATCATCATCATCCTGTAAATTCTGTGTTACAGATTTTTTGTTGTCATCAGTAAAGGTTGACATGCTTATATATATATATATAAATTGTTCCATTTTAAAAGAAAGAAGCTGTATAATTTTAATACACTTTGTGGTTTTGGTTTTTCAACTACTTTGTGCAAGGAATTAATATGCTCAGGAAGACCAAAAGTATTTCTTCATCTTTTGGTTGTTACATCTGTATTTATAAAGCAAGTCGAAGACTGAGAACAAATGTGTTTGGGCCTTGGTATCATAACTGCAGAATATTTAATACTTTTGAATATTGTTTTCTATGATTTGTGTACATTTCTGATTGTCTGATGTTCCTAGATTTCTGTGTAGCTTCATAGCTCTTTGTTATAAAACGATAAGCTTATTAATCAGTGCAGTATATGTACTTATTTTATATCCATATCTGTAAGCAAATAGGATGGCCCATCAGCACGTTAAACTTAATTCCTTTAAAAAATTTGTAAGATGTTTTGTGTGTATGTATGTGAAATCTTGAATGATACAGGCTTTTTTAAACTTTATTAAGTCTTGAAATGTATGTAAGAGTAGAAACACATTATTTTATGAGTTATATATAAAAGGATAATGCTCTTTTCCACCCGTGTATTTACTTAGCTTTATATGTACTGTCAACATATGGCCTATCTTGTTTCATCTACCCCCATTCCACAACATTATTTTAAAGGAAATTTCCAATATACTATTTCATTTGTAAATACTTTAATATGTAGCTCTAAAATAGGGTTTGGCAGACTTTCTGTAAAGGGCCAAATAGTAAATATTTTAGTCTTTGCAGGCCATGTGCTCACTTTTACAACTTTTCAACTCTGCCATTGTGTACAGAAGCAGCCACTGACAATAAATAAATGAATGAGCATGTCTGTATTTCAGTAAACCTCTATTTTATAGACACTGAAATTTGAATGTCATAATTTTCACATATTAGGAAATAGCTTTCGATATTTTTTCCCTCAATCACTTAAAAATGTAAAAACCATTCCTAGTTTGTACACTGTACAAAAAGAGGTGGCCCACAGGCCATAGTTCCTTGAGCCCTTTAAAAGATATAAATTATCTTTTTTTTCTTAAATAATCATTATGCCTAAAACCTAATTTTTTATTATCAAGTATCCAGTGAAGGCTCAAATTATACTCAGTTGTCTCATGAAAGTTTTTTTTTTACAGTTTGTTTGAACTGTGACCCAGCTAATGTCCACGTGTCTTTTAATCTATGGGTCTCTTTCCCTTTTTTACCTCTCTGTATTTGAAATCAGCTTATTTATCCTGTAGGATTTCCCACAATCTGAATTTTGCTGATTAAAGTCTTATTGTTCTCTTTTACATGTTCCTCAATCCCTTGTATGTCTTATAAGCTATTAGATCTAGAAGCTTAATCAGATTCAGATTCAAATTCTTGGCAAATACACATTATAGCTAATATCGTGTACTTTTTGTTGTAGCACATTAAGAGGCACTTATTTATCTCTGTGATAATAAGATTAATTAGTAGGCTCAAGTGTTGTATCATTCATTCATTTTAAATTCCTATTAGTCTTTTATGTAATGGTTTTTAGCATGTATTGATGATCACACACATATCTAGTGTTTCATTAAGATTTGCAAAATCATTGGGGTGCCTGGGTGGCTTAGTGGGTTAAAGCCTCTGCCTTCAGCTCAGGTCATGGTCCCAGGGTCCTGGGATCGAGCCCCATATCGGGCTCTCTGCTCTGTGGGGAGCCTGCTTCCTCCTCTCTCTCTCTCTGCCTGCCTCTCTGCCTGCTTTTGATCTCAGTCTGTCAAATCAATAAATAAAATACTAAAAAAAATTTGCAAAATCGTTGTACTTTAATTCTACCATTATTTTTGCCTTTAATAGCTAGCATTTTTTTAATATAGATTTTTCTTATACCAATTCTTTGGTTACGTGGGAGACTTTGATACAGGAAAGGCGGGATAAATGCTCTTTTACTGAGTTTCAGAATGAGTAGGTTTCCTAGCAGCTTTTTTTTTCTTTTAATTCTCAAGTTGTCCCATATTTGGGACATACTTGAAACCTCTTTAATTGGCCCCTTTGGGCTTTTGATAAGACCTTTAGCAGTCTTTCTTGCTTTTGGTACTACAGAATGTTGCAGGTTCACTTTATGCTTTTCTTATTCTAGACCTGAAATCATCTGTTTCACCAAGAAGCCTATGTTTTTTGGTTTTGTTTTTTTTTGCAGGCAATAATAGCTGGAAACCTTAGTTTGGGCTGTAATGGTGCCCAACAGAAATTTTTTAAACGTAATCTTGTTTTATAATTCTGTAAAACATAAACAGTTTAAAAGGAAAAACAACTCAAGGTATATTCAAAGAGGTCTAGATTTAGTCTGTATTGCTTCTTACACCATTCCTTTCCTTATACTTTTTTTTTAACTTTGTTAGGTATGTATGTATATCTATATTGCTCCTTTATATATAAAAGATAAACAGATAACATACTATATGAAATTGTCTGCCCTTCCTCTTTTTGCTTGATAATATTACCAACTTAGAGATCTCTTTATTATACTATATAGAAATCGTCATTCATTTTTACAGTGGCATTTTTATTAACTGTTTAGCTAGCTGTCCTGTGGTGATTCTAACTTATTCAACCAGTCCCTTACTAATGGACATCTGAGTTTTTACTCTTTTGCTAGTACAGATAGTGTCATGATAAATGGCTCTGTGCCTATGTCATTTCCTTCTTTTGGAAGTGTCACTTAGGTATAATATCCATTTCTGGATCAAAAGGTAAGTGCACATGCAGTTTTGTTAGGTATTGGGGAACACCTTCATTAGATGTTATAACTTTTACTGCATTTCCAGCAGCATCATATGAGTCTCTATTTCCCTTGCTGATGGAGTATGTTGTCAGATTTTTAGATTGTTGCCAAAATAAGTGAAAAGTGAAATTTGCATCTCTCTTTTTATTGGGGGGGGGCATCTTCATATATGGAAGGGATTTTTACCTTTCTTTTTCCTGTGAACTGTATTAAAAACTCCTGCTAAAAACTCCTGCCCATTTAATACAGGGTTACTGGCTATTTTTGAAATCCTTAATTATATTTATTAACCCTTAAATACAAATTACGGATATTTTCCCATTTTGCTATCTCTTTTAACTTTGCCCATTTTCTTGTAATGCAAAAGTCAATTTTTATGTAATCATGTTTGTCTTGATCTTTTAAGGTATTAGAAGATCTCATAGAGATCTGTACAGTAAAAAATACTGCTTCAATTTTGCAGGGTATTTTTTCCAGTCTGATTTATTTCTACTTTATCATAAGGTAATCTTTTGTTATTTTGTTAGTTTGCTTGATGGTTTAGGGGCCAAGTGTTATTTGCGCTTTTTTTCCTTTTTTGACACCCCATACTATGCTAGCGAGTATAGCTGAAGAAATTAATGATTGATATTTTTATGTCATTTTTTTGGGTCTGTTTTCTAGCTCAAATTTTATATTCTGAATATAGTAAAGTAGTACTATCCTTTAGTTGATATTATATGTATAACACTTCCAGTTACATTATAAGTTGTGATTCTGAGTAATTACATGTTGCTTTATATGATCTCTAAAGGCTTTTTTCCCCTACCTTTTCAAAGCTGAATCTTCCTTACACATATTAAAAGAGATTTATTTTGTTATTCATTCTTTCTGCCTTATCTTGAAAGAAATTTTAAGAAAGAAATTTTCTGAGCTTTCTAAAATAATGTTTCTCTTGAATTATATGCTACATTGATCTCTGAGCGAATATAAAAAGCATTCCCGATTACACTATAAGATGAGACATTTAGAAAATTGGAATTGGTAGTTAATTCTTCTTATGAAAGAACCTCCTGTTCACACAGATTTAAAAACCGAAACTTATTTTGTATATTCAGCTCGATTCACTATTTTCCATTAGGAAATATATGGTACAAGCTTTTGGAGGTAAATTATTACTATCTGAGAAATAAGTTTATCCAAAAGAAAAAGGTTTTTAAAAATTAACCATTTCCTGAAAGCTTATGGTTCTCTGTTTTTAGACTGGTTCATGAATAATGTATTATTATAAAATCAAATGGTTAATTTACTAGTCTTCAGGACATTTGAGTTTAAAGAACAACTGATGATGCATAGGCTTTAAGCTGATTTTTAATTATTTGAAAAACGATTCTTCATGTAAGTGGAAAAATTTACTTTGATTTCAGTATTCAGATACAGTAGTCATAGCTTTTTTAAATATTTTATTTATTTATTTATTTATTTATTTATTTATTTTTAAAGATTTTTATTTATTTATTTGACAGACAGAGATCTCAAGTAGGCAGAGAGGCAGGCAGAGAGAAAGAAGCAGACTCTCTGCTGAGCAGAGAGCCAGACGCGGGGATCGCAGGGATCGACCCTTAGATCATGACCTGAGCAGAAGGCAGAGGCTTTAACCCACTGAGCTACCCAGGCGCCCCAAAGATTTTATTTATTTATTTGACAGAGAGAGAGATCACAAGTAGGCAGAGAGAAAAGGGAAAGCAGGCTCCCCACTGAGCAGAGAGCCCAATTCGGGGCTCAGTCCCAGGACCGTGGGATCATGACCTGAGCCAAAGGCAGAGGCTCAGTGGTTACTGAGCCACCCAGGTGCCCCAGTAATCATATTTTTATGTGTACAGTAATCTGTTTCAGTCTTTGTCCCTATGACTAAGCATGGGTAATACTTTACAGATCCACAGAAGGTATTTTCTTCTCCAATTACCAAGACTATTTCCTGTCTAATTTTTTTCATTTTAGAGATTAAAATTGTTTCATTTCTCTGAACTTTGGTTTCTTCATCTGTTAAATGGGACTAATAGCAGCCCTTAGTTCCTGGGATTCTTGTGGAATGTAATGTTTTTATGGTGTCTGGCACGTGGTAAGGACTGTATCTCTCTGTCTCTATCACTAAGCAAAGGCGTCTGCTGCTTTGCAGAAGCCCAACACCAGCACCTATTTATAACTTCATATTTTACATACAATCCCATTTTCTTTTTGTCCTACTTTGTACTTTTTTAAAATTTTATTACACTGTATATGTTCATGAAAGTCACTTAAAATTTTTCTGGAGCACAGTAGGTAACAAAATTCGGGGAATATTTATTTAAATATGATCAATGCATATATAGTTCTTAAATATATTCCTATCCAGGTAAAAAATTGTTTTTTCCTAAAGATACTGACCCCTTGACCCTTTTTTTTTCATTTCCATATGCATTTCTACACAACTATAGAAATTCTGCATAACTGTAGTTGATATTTTACAAGGGCTGCAGGAAGTCTCCTAAGTGCCTATTATATTTTTCAAATAATCAGACACATAATGAGTCAGAATAGGCTAAGTTATGGTAGAGGAACAAACACTTCCCTGAACTCAAGTGTCATCACACAAGAGTATTTCTTACTCACCATACATATTCATTATGGATTAGGGAGGGGAATATGTTCTTGGAGTTTCTCAGGGACCCAGGCTGATGGGGGCTCTCTCTATATATGTATGCTTCAAGAGTTTATTGTAGCAGTAAAGGGCAATGTGATTAATAATCCATTGACTCTTAAAAGCCTATACCTGAAAGTGTTAGCCACCATTCATACTGTTGACTCACGTCTGCATCATTTGGCTGCGCCTACTGTCATGCCCAGAAAGGGCAAGCTACCATATCATTTATTCAGCTTGCTCTCCCTTGTGTAGGCAGAACATATCCACCTCTCTCTCAATGTGGGGCAAGAACCCTGGATTCCTCTTTGCCAATGTATTTCCTAGAAAAAAATTCCCATATTTTTGTCATTTTTTAACTTAACTTTTGTAGTTTTTTAAAGCTGTGATGTAGGGGCTAAATATATTTGTATATTAGAAAATGGCTTTATTCTGTCCTTATATTTGATTGTTACTTTGGCTAGATGTAAAATCCTGTGTTAAAACCATTTACTGGTAGAATTGTGAAGACATTGCTTTATTTCCTTTTAGTGTATGGTGTTAACTGAAAAGTTTGATTCTGTTCTGATTTCCCATCTTCTCTGTGAGACACATTTCTGTTCCCCTTGTAAGCTTTTAGGATCGCCTCTATTTCTGATGTTACAGATTTTCACAGTACATCTCTCTGAAAATGCCTTTCATTTGGCACCTTTGTGGGTTCATTGAATCTAGACATTCATATCCTTTACTTTTGAGAATCTTTCTTATATTATTTCTTTGTCCTTTCTGCCCTGTCCCCTGTTATCTCTTTCTGCAATCCCTATCATTGGATATTGAACATTCTGAAATTATTTTCTGACTTTGTAAGTTTTCCTTGTCCATTTTTTGTGTCTTTGTCTTTTTCATCTAATTTTCCAGAGAGACTGCTGTTTAGTTTTGGTTTGGGTCTTTTTGGGCCTTTTACTTTTAGCTTTTATTTTTCTTATTCTGTCACTAATTTTTCTTATATAATATTCTACCTATTTGCAAATATTATAGTATTTGCTGTAGTATAGTATACTATACTGTGTAATATACTATATATAGTTTTATATATAGTATATATTATATATATAGTATATTAGTATATAGTGTATATTATATATATAGTATATTAGTATACTATACTGCGTAATATACTATATAGTTATATATATATAGACTATACTATACTGTGTAATATACTATAACTATATAACTATATAGTATATTACACAGTATAGTATAGTATACTATACTATAGTGTGTGTGTGTTTTAAAGGTTTATTTATTTATTAGAGAGTGCAGGGGAAGAAGGAGTGGCAAAGGGAAGAGAGAGTCTTAAGCAGACTCCACACTGAGTGCGGGGCTTGACCTTATGACCCTGAGATCACGGCCTGAGGGTTGGATGCTTTAACTAACTGCTCTACCTAGGCACCCACTTATTTTTTTTCCCCCTGCTTCCTGAAGTTGGATTTGTCTCTTCTGGATTGCCTAGCCCTTCCTCCCTTATTTTTGTGTTTCTTTGGATTTTTCTGTTTCATGTTGGAGACTTTGATTAAATGATTGTTGATACTAAATTGGCTGCTCATATTCAAGAATAAGGTATAAAGAAATAGAAAACTTTTCAGCTTGTGTAGATAGAGCTTGGTGATTGGTGGGCTTCATTAGAATGCAAACTGGTGGCGGTCTATCCTTTTAGATGGGACACCCTCTCGCGTGTCGTTATCTGAAGTTCTTTAGCATTACTCAGTCTCCTAGAGCAGAATTCTCCCATCTGTTGCCTGGGTGGCGGGGAATATATGCATGGCTGCTGGTACAGTGAGAGAAGGGGATGTAGATTTTCCATTTATTTCCCTTGTGTTTCATGGGGCTTTTTTTTTTTTTAAAGATTTTATTTATTTGACGGAGATCACAAGTAGTTCAGGGAGGCAGGCGGAGATGGGGGGGCAGGGGGGAGCAGACTCCCTGCTTAGCAGAGTGCCTGGTGCGGGGCTTGATCCCAAAACCCTGAGATCATGACCTGAGCCAAAGGCAGACGCTTAACCCATTGAGCCACCCAGGCACCCCTCCATGGGGCTTCTTATTCCAGACCTTTATTTTGTTCAGCTGCCTGAATCTGCAAACTGTGCTTCAGTTCCTCCAGAGAATAAACCTCCAGTTTCCTGCAGTGGGTGAGGATGTGCTTTCCTGACACTGAAAGTTGAAAGAGATCTAGCATTTCAAATCCTCTGCCTAGCCCCATTCTCCATCGAGCCTAGTAGCTGGCTACGGAGTCTCATGAGAGTTTCCTGCCCCCGCCCCCCGCCCCGCCCCGGGAACTAATTTCTAATCTCTCTCTGTGGGTGTTTAAATTATAATCTCCTCCATTTTCCTAAATCAGTTATATTATTTTCTGTTTTCTTTCTCCTTGTAGATTAATGCCATTGGTAGCTTTACTATGAAGAATCTGTCAATTTTTTGGAAAGATTTATTTATTTATTTGAGAGACAGATTGAACAAGTAAGCAAGTGGAGAGACTGGGGAGTGGGGCAGAGAGAGAAAATCTCCAGCAAACTGCCCACTGAGCACAGAACCTGACACAGGACTTAACCCCAGGAACCTGAAATCATGGCTTGAGCCAAAATTGAGTCAGATGCTCAACTGCCTGCTCAACCCAGGCACCCCAACAGTCTGCCTTTTTTTTTTTTTAAGATTTTATTTATCTACTTGACAGACAGAGATCACATGTAGGCAGAGAGGCAGGCAGAGAGAGAGGAGAAAGCAGGTTCCCTGCTGATCAGAGAGCCCGATGCCAGGCTCGATCCCAGGACCCTGGGATCATGACCTGGGCCGAAGGCAGAGGCTTTAACCCACTGAGCCACCCAGGTGCCCCAACAGTCTGCCATTTTTAAGCAGAACTCTCTTTTTTTGTTTCTGGTTTTTTTTGTTTTTTGGTTTTTTTTTAGATAATTTTTCACATGTTTAATTTTTAGCTTATAAAATTTTATATTAAGATAATAAGATTTAGGGGCACCTGGGAAGGCTTTGCCTTCAGCTCATGTCATGATCTCAGGGTTCTGGGATTGAGCCCCGCATCGGGCTCTCTGCTCAACGGGGAGCCTACTTCCCTCTCTCGCTCTCTCCCTGCCTCTCTGCCTACTTGTGATCTCTATCTGTCAGATAAATAAATAAAATCTTCAAAAAAAAAAAAAAAAGAGGACACCTGGGTGGCTCAGTTGCTAAAGCAACTGCCTTCAGCTCAGGTCATGATCCCGGAGTCCCGGGATCAAGTCCCACATCGGGCTCCCAGCTCCAAGAGGAGTCTGCTTCTCCCTCTGACTTCCCCTATCATGCTCTCTCTCACTGTCTCTCTCTCAAATAAGTAAATAAAATCTTAAAAAAAAAAAGATTAAAAAAAAAGATAATAAGATTTAATTACCTCGTCCGTTGCTATTGAATATTTAGCTGGGCTCCAGTGTTTGTTTTTTTTGTCATTTTATTTATTTATTTATTTTTTAAGATTTTATTTATTTATTTGACAGAGGGGGAGATCACAAGTAGGCAGAGAGGCAGGCAGAGGGTGGGGGAGGCAGGCTCCCTGCTGAGCAGAGAGCCCGATGTGGGGCTCGATCCCAGGACCCTGAGATCGTGACCTGAGCTGAAGGCAGAGGCTTAACCCACTGAGCCCCATTTGTCATTTTAATTAAATATTTTTATAAGCAGCATTTCAAAATCATTTGCATTATCTTTCTATATAGTTTTTTTTAACCAGAAGGGATTGTGCAGCCCATTTATCCTGCTCCCTCATTTTGCAGATGAGAAATTGGAGGTTATTCCTTGGTTGGACAATCCATACATAGCACAGCCAGGACTTGCACCCAGACATTCCGGCCCAGAGTCTGCTCTTGATCATTGAGTTAAGCCTTAACTGGCCGAGTTACTGTCAGTTCAGAAAGTGTTTTTAAAATTGCAGTGCTTTAGGGATGCATGGATGGCAGAGTCAGGTACGCGTCTGACTCTTGATTTAGGCTCAGGTCATGATTTTCAGGGTCGTGAAATCGAGCCTGAGTTGGGCTCCATGCTCAGTGTGGTCTACCTGAGATTCTCTCTCTCTCTTGCTCTCTTCCTCTCTCTCTGTCAAATAAATCTTTTTTAAAAAATTAAAAAAACAAAATTGCAATGCTTTAATAACTAGCAAGGTTGAACATTTTTCTATATGACATTGTATTAACTAATACCTTTTTCCCCTTTAGTTTGTAGTCTTTCATCTGGAAAATTTGGGACATTACTTAGTGGCTCATGGGACACCACTGCTAAAGTCTGGCTGAATGACAAGTGCATGATGACCTTACAGGTACGGTAGTAGTTCTCTGTGAATGTTCTACATAATAATTAAATGTGATGATTTTGTGTCAATTCAAGTTAATTCCCATTTCACTCACAGGGTCATACAGCTGCAGTATGGGCAGTAAAGATCTTACCTGAGCAGGGCTTAATGTTAACTGGATCAGCAGACAAGACTATTAAATTGTGGAAAGCTGGAAGGTGTGAGAGGACTTTTTCAGGTAAGATCAGAGTAGACAATATTTATAGTCTCATCACTTCATATTCACTCCATTGGTATATCCTCAAAAGCTTAGAAGCAACATTTGAAAAACACGAGTGTATTTGAACCACTTAATTTGGGTAGATGTAACTTTTCTGACAACTAATACTTAAAATCTTTTAAAAGATAAAATGAAACCTCTCCTAAAATAACTAGATGTGGACTAAAAAATGGCTCTTAATGAGCTTGTAATATGGTATACAGTTTGTTTTTGGTTTAACAAGTTCAGAGTGAAACTTTCAAGCGTAAGCATTATTGATGGTGTGTCACTACTGTTAATTTCATATATACAAGAAGACATCATTAGTGCTCTTGTGAATATTGAAGTACATTATTTAGTAATAACAAATTTCTGGCTTATATTAGGATTTTAGATCAGTGGTCTTTTTGAACCTTACCTATTAAATAACTCCTGCACTGAGACATCTGCTGACTGACACTGGTATTGCTGAATTATTTGTGGAACACTTAAAATTTTGGTATGAATTTTTTTGTTGTTTTTCTTCTCTTTTATTTTCTTCGAATTTGATCACTAGTCTGGATAATACTTCCAGAAGTCCCTTTGTGCAGATAAAACTATCTGTAGATGGGCAAGTTATAATTAAGCATCACTGTGTTCCTGCTTCCATACATACATGTTATCAAGTTGTTACTAATCTTCAGTAGCTAATCTAAAGCAGCAAATACTGAACCTGAAAAATTTTTTTTGATACCTGATCTCCTTTATTAGATCATAAGCTTCAGAAAATGTTCTGTCCTTAAAAAAAAGAAAGTAAGAGCGCCTGGGTGACTCAGTGGGTTAAGCCTCTGCCTTCGGCTCAGGTCATGATCTCAGGGTCTTGGGATTGAGCCCCACGTCAGGCTCTCTGCTCGGTGGGGAGCCTGCTTCCCCTTCTCTCTCTGCCTGCCTCTCTGCCTCCTTGGATCTCTGTCAAATAAATAAATAAACAAAGTCTTAAGAAAAAGAAAAGAAAGTAATCTGCGTTGCTTCAGTTAATATTGAAAGAAATTGAGTTTTATGAAGTTTTTAAAAGGATTTTAAATTTTTAATTAATGGAATATATGTATATTTCTAGTTATATAATTAAGAATAATGTTTATTCCACAAAATCTTGTCTTCTAAAAAATTGGTTATTAGTTCTTATTGTATTATTTTAATGGTTGTATTTGTATATGTTATGAAATGTTTCTGCTGATAAAGCAGTGATGTTTGGTTATATATTTGTGTTTTGGTCAAATCAGGGGAGAAGTTATGATTTGTTGTATCAAAGGAAGTGGGATTATAAGGCAGGAAACTTGAATCCCTGTTTTAGCTTTTCCGCTAGTTGTTGTGTGGTTTCAGATAAATCAATCTCTCTTAATCTATTCTTCATACTTTAATAAAGATTACTTTTCTATAATGATTTTCATTTCAAATTCTTAAATAATTAAAATCTTTTTTATAATTGAATTTTTCTTAATTTTCATTAGTGCCCTTCATTACCGTCTCATTAGTGCCTTATAAATATTAATTTCAGTATTATGTTTTGAGAAATTTTGGGGCTATTACTCTTTGTCATGTTTGAATGTTTTGTATGTTATGAATTACTCTTGTTATTGAAGACAAAAAGTTGAAAATGAATTGTCAGGTGAAAATGAATTGTTGGGATCAGAATCTTATTTCTGGAGAGCTTTAGGAAATAATTTGGAGAAGATAAGGTAAATGTAAAATAACTTCCAAAGGTAATAAAAAATACTACCAAACCTAAAATAAAATTTTGGTTACCAGTCTTTTCTATAGAAAAAAATTAATTTCTCTGCTTTGAAAATCAGTTATTACTACCCACTTACATGTTTTATAATGGTAGTTAATACAGAGATCCATCAATGAAATCATCCATCTTATTGGTTTATATTATTCTTTCATACAGGGCATGAAGACTGTGTAAGAGGTTTAGCAATTTTGAGTGAAACAGAATTTCTTTCCTGTGCAAATGATGCTAGTATTAGAAGGTGGCAGATCACTGGCGAGTGCCTTGAAGTATATTATGGACATACCAATTATATTTATAGCATATCGGTCTTTCCAAATTGTAAAGGTAAGATTAGCATGTATTAAAATTTTTAAATTTTCTATCAGTCACTGTATCGTTCCATTCTTGAGGTGGGGGTAGGAGTGCTAATTATCAGTTTGTTAACTGTGATTTGAGTAATTTGGTAGCTTTATCTCATTAAGGATCTTCTGGTAAAGGAGAAGGTTGTGTGATCATCTTTATATTAATTCATATTTGATGGTTATGTCAAAAAGTTTTGGGTATTTCAGGAAAGACTATAATTTATTGGTTCTAAGTGTACAGCATGTAAGGTATGAAATATAGCAAATGTGATTTTTTAAGTTGTGTATTGTATAAGTGAGAAATACATAAAATGTAAAACTAATTTTAAAATAGTTCAGGGTTAAAAAAAAATCCTTATGCCTACCTGGGAAGGTGATATGTAATACATGTATTTAATTTTATTTATACAAACTGATTTTTCCTATATTCATTAATTTTAGATTTTGTAACAACGGCAGAAGACAGATCACTGAGAATCTGGAAACATGGGGAATGTGCTCAAACAATCCGACTTCCAGCTCAATCTATTTGGTGCTGCTGTGTTCTAGACAATGGTGACATTGTGGTTGGTGCGAGGTATTTATATTCTAGTCAGTCAATATATCATGTGTTTAGGCCTTTGGTATTGTGTAGAGATGACCCATAAGGAAACACCAAGTGAATTGGGAGACCATATGTATATTTCTGGAGTGAAAAAACAGTACTAAACATGACAACTTTTACATTAATGAAACATGATATATTACACTGGTATTGTACTGCAGGTTGTACAGTCAAAACTTTGAATGCAAAGAAATTGGAGAAGATCGAGATTAGTGTGGGAAAACTTTCTGAAGAAGGAGAAATTTGAGTTGAAAATTGAAGGATAATGAGTAAGAAGGGAAATGATAGTTTCTAGCAAAACAAATGTTATAAATAAAGATGTGACATGGACACGAGAGGGATATGTGTGAGAAATGAAGGAAAATGGTAGAGGATTCATGCTGGGGAATAGTGGGGAACACTGGTAAGGTGGTAAGACATTAAAGCGGGGCATAACTGTGGGAAACCTTGAATGCCAGGCCTTTTTTAGATTCTGTGCTTGAGATAAAGGGTTCTAGCTTTTAAAGAAGTGACATAATTAAAGCATAACTTGCAATTTATTACATAATAGGTTGGGTATAAGTAGTGGTGATAGTGAGCAGGAAAAGCAATTTAGAAAGCAGTTACAGTGTGCCTGTGCCATTATGAAATGTTATCCCCACAGTGCTAATAGATAAGAGGCCAAAATATGAAATGTTGCAGAGGAAGGATGATCAAAAGAAGGATGAAAGAAAAGCATAAAGCTTCTAATTTTTGGTGATTGCATTAATAAAATTGGGGAAGTGGGAGAATTGGTTTGGTACAGAAGGTGAGGCCCTCAGTTTTAGACTTCTGGGGTCTGAGTGGGATGAGCCACACTTACACCAGTGAATCTGGCATGGAAGGCAGAGGTAAAAAGAAAGCAACAGCCATTAGGGATGGAGGGCCTAATAAAGGAGGTGATTTACTTTTTGTCTGGGTCAAGTGCAGATTTGTTGGTTTCTTTATTTTCCGCCCTAAGCATATTTAAAGTTGAAGTAAACAAACTGGAAGGGTGAAGTTCCTGTTAGTGGAAGGTTAAGTAAGAAACCAAGTTCTCTCTAGAATTGGGCAGGATTAGTGCATTTGAAAGTAGCTAACTTGCCTTTCCTACCCAAAACTGGAGGTTGGGGTTGCCATCTAGTCCAATGCAAGACTGGTTTTTTCTTCCTTCGGATTACATTGCTAGTTAATCAGAATAAAGACAGACTCCATGTTTCCTGAATGGACAGATAATGAGCATCTGCTATTTTTAAGCTTTATGTTGTGTATTTGAGTCCTTTGTAAAGTAAACCAACTTACTGCCCTTCTTTATACTCTCTTATGTAATAGTGACTTGAAGTCTATGTTATGCCTCTAGATTTTTATGATGGTAAATACTTACTTGGAATTCAAAATTGTGTCAAATATATATTTCTCTGTCCTTTGCCAGTGACTTTTCCCTTAAATTATCTTTTTCCTACCCTAAACATGGCTTTAGGAAGCAACAGAGGATAGTGTGTAAAACCAGCATAGTGCTCTCCTCAGCCGTAAATACATAGTAACGTTTCTCATATTCACAAATACAGATTATTTTTGCTTTGAATCATTCAGGTGTGATAATGTTCATGCACTATAGCATAAGTGACTTCAAATCAATTTGTTTTTTCTTTATAGTGATGGTATTATTAGAGTGTTTACAGAATCAGAGGATCGGACAGCAAGTGCTGAGGAAATCAAGGCTTTTGAAAAAGAACTCTCTCAGGCAACCATTGATTCCAAAACTGGTGATTTAGGGGACATTAATGCTGAGCAGCTTCCTGGGAGGGAACATCTGAATGAACCTGGTAAATATTTCAGTGTATATATGTTTGCCATTTGGAATAATTAGAATGAGAAGGAAAAAGAGGTTGATTTGCTGGTAATTGAGTGTTATCCCCATTGCCAGACAGGGATTTTTTTAGAATTTGTACTGTTATACTTAACCACTGTGAGAAACCATATTCTTGCCTCTGTTTCACAGTTTTAAAGACTGAGCTAAACTGCTCATAAACAGGAATCTTGTTTTTGTTTTAAATAAATCTCCTAATACTTAGCTCATATACAGTAGGTACTCAGAAGTCAATCATTTAACACCTTTTGGTTGATTGGATTCTCTGAGAGAGGTTGTATAGACTAAAAATAAAAATGAGTTCAAATAAAGCAATGTCTGCTTAACAAGTTGGGGGTAATTTGAGCTTAAATCAGAGGACAGTGGTTATTTCAAATGATATCTAGATATATGCCTGATCCATGATAGCAGTTCTCAGAACTTCATCCACGGACCCTTAGGAATTCTGAGACTCTTTCAGGATGTCCACAAAGTCAAACTAATTTTATAACACTAAGCTGTTATTTGACTTTTCTACTGTGTTAACATTTGCACTTAAGGTTCAAAAGCAAGGTGGATTAAAAAAAAAAAGCCATTTGCCCATAATAATGTTCTTAAAGAAGCATTAAAAATTAGTTTTACTACAACCCATTAGTCATGTCTTTGTTAATATTCTAGTTGACAAAATGGAAAGTACAGATAAAGTACTTGAAACACCATGGTGTTTCAAGGATAAGTATTTGTGCATTTCTTTGAGTTGCAGACTGAACTTTTTCATAGAATGCCATATTTATTTCAAAGAACAACTAACCAACCTTAAGTTTGGGGCATTTTTTTTTTTTTTTTTTTTTTAAAGAACAAAGTGATCACGTCACTTTAAGGAAAATACTGACAGTATTTATTGCTAAAGATACAATTTAAAACTCTCAAGTGAAAATTGAAATTTTGGAAGAAGTATCTGTTACCAGGAGTTGTTAAGATAGACCAGTGGATTTTAGTGTTTAGTAGAGCATAAAAAAATGCATTGATATGGTTTCAGATTCTAATGTATAGCCTTTAAAGACCTACTACTTGTAGGATATTCACATTTTTCTGAAAAGGCTTTTAAACTAGTCATTTCTCTTTCAATTATATTATCTGCATGAGGTTGGATTTTCTTTTTTTTACTTCAACAAAACGACAGATTACAACAGATTGAATGGAGAGGCAGGTATGATAATCCAGCTGTCTACTATTAAGACAGTAAAAAGATTTATAAATATATAAAACCATGCCAGTCTTCTCAGTAAACTTCTAAAACTATTCTTATTTTTCATTAAAATATTAAAATACTATTTATTCAATATGTAATATATCTGTTTTCCATTAAGTAAATATATTTTACTTTTTATTTTTAATTTCAAATCCAGTAAGTCAGTTGATATAACCCACATTAATAAAAGTTCTTTGAGCTTCTGAATAACTTTTATGACTATAAAGAGATCTTGAAATCCAGAGTTTGAAAAATGACCCATTATGCTGTCATGTTTTTAATATTCTTACAATTCTTCATAAAATGTAGTCTCTTTGTCATTACACACACACACACACACACACACACACACACACACACAATAAATATTTACTAAATACCCAATGTGTTCCAGGCATTGTTCTAAACTCTGGGAAATAGGAATAAAAATCTCTGTTCTCATAAATTTATGTTCTGCAAGAGACAGATAATTAAAAAGTAAATAAGTAATGATATAAGTATGTCAGATAGGGATAAGTACCCTGGGAAACAAAGCAGGAGTTGGAGTGTTTTATAATTTTAAATACAATGCTCTGGAAATATATATTATTTAGGATAACATTAGTTGCTGTAACAGATAAACTCTCAAATCTCAGAGACTTAATACAAGAGAATTTTCTTTGTTGCACAGTAAAAGCTCAGTTAATGGCAAGGTATTGGAGCAGTTTTGCTCCTTGTGGCCATTCAGGGACCCAGCTGATAGAAACCACCATCTTCAACATGTAGCTCCCAAGGTCCTCTTGTGTAGAGACTTTCAGCCATCAGACAGAATAAAAGGGGAGGGTAGAGGATGATGGAGTGGGCCTAGAACTGGCTCACATCTCACCCACTCAGATTCCCCTGACCGCTTCTCATGTATATCTTGCTAAAACTACAGTTCTACTATGGAATACGAATGTGAATCTCTGGAGGACAAATGGCTGTCTCTGCCACTGAATGTTTTGCTGAGAATGTGACATTCAAGTCCTTAAGGAGGCAAGGGAGCAAATCTTGCCAGCACTGTATAAAGAGTGTCATGGGCAGAATTAAAAGCCAGCGTAAAGACTCCATGGCTGAAGTGGGGAGATAGGTGGAGGGGAGGAGTAGTGGAAGGTGAAGTCAGAGTGGATGATATATTTGGCCTTGTACCTCATTCCAAGGACTTAGGCCTTAACTGAGAGAGATGGGAAGCCATTGAAGGGCCTCCAGCAGAAGAGTGACAGGAGTGCTTTCAACTTTTGAAAAAAATTTTGTGGTTGCTGGGTTGAATATAGACTTCAGGGAGCCCCAGGGCAAGAGTAAGAGGCCATTAAAGCAGTCCAAGTGAGAAATGCTGGTGGCTTGTACCATTGGGTAGCAATGGAGATGGTGATGGTGAGAAGAGATAGTTTTCTAGATTTTTTTTTTTTTTTAAGATTTTATTGACAGAGACAGTGAGAGAGGAAACACAAGCAGGGATAGTGGGAGAGGGAGAGGCAGGCTTCCTGCCAAGCACGGAGCACAGTGTGGGGCTCAGTCCCAGGTCCCTGGGATCATGACCTGAGTCAAAGGCAGGTGCTTAACGACTGAGCCACCCAGGTGCCCCTAGATCTTTTTTAAAGATAGAACTAACAGAATTTGCTGAAGGATTGGCCATGGAGTTCAGAGAAAGAGGAATCAGATTCTTTTGTACTTTTTGGCCTGAACAACTAGAAGAATGGAGAGTCATTTACTAAAGTCAGTGTTGTCAGAAGATACTCGGTAATAAAATTTGTTTTATTTTAGTGGGCTGGCTTCTTTCTAGTAGAGACATACTTTTTTAACCTTCCTCTGTTTATACAGGTTCCTTTTAACCATTATTTTCTTTTGGGCTGCTTTCCAATAGAGTAACATTTTAAAATCTTTAATAAAAATTTCATTAAACCAAATACATACTCTGTTTTATGTATAATTTTTAAAGTTAAAATTTTTTTATCTAAATGGCTTTGAATTTTACTCTGCTATTCTACCTTTGATTCTTAAATGTTTTATTTTAAGGTACTAGAGAAGGACAGACTCGTCTAATCAGAGATGGGGAGAAAGTTGAAGCCTATCAGTGGAGTGTTAGTGAAGGGAGGTGGCTAAAAATCGGTGATGTTGTTGGCTCATCTGGTGCTAATCAGCAAACATCTGGAAAAGTCTTATATGAAGGGAAAGTATGTCAACTTCTACTTTGTAATAACCATTACCCTAAAGCATTAGACAAACATCTTCTGTTCCCTTTTCCCCATGCTGATAAAATTTTCTTTGGTGTTTGAGATTTAAAAATTCATTTCTATGGAGAAGATTTCCTATTTTTCCTGCCTTGAAATTGACTTTTTAAAAAGCTCTTTCCATGTAGGGAAGCTGCATTTCATAGATTAGCCAGTGTTTGTCTTTGGGTGCTTACCATGCATAAATTGTTCCCTACCATTTTGAATTAGGAGCTTCTGTGCCACCTTTCACCTAATGCTTTGTGCCTCGCTAAATTTAACTTGACAAGATATGAAGGACCCTGCGGGGCAGTGCTTTTAATGCCAGCATGTTTTGTGCCTGGAGCATGGTAACAGCTAATACTTTTGGCCTTCAAATCAACCAATTAGAAACCCTCCTTTGGCCTTAGAGTTAATGTGTAGTTGTAATATGTCCCCTGCCCCACCCCTACTGAAATGCTAATCTTGTAGCACATTGCACTCTGGCGAAAGTGTAAGTGTTATAATAATTATTTTTAAAAGGATGTATAATGTCTGTGATATATATGTCATTTAAGTGAACAGATACATTAGTAATCATTTATCTCCTTTTTGTATTCCTATTGAAGGAATTTGATTATGTTTTCTCAATTGATGTCAATGAAGGTGGACCATCATATAAACTTCCATATAACGTCAGTGATGATCCCTGGTTAACTGCATACAACTTCTTACAGAAGAATGATTTGAATCCCATGTTTTTGGATCAAGTGGCTAAATTTATTATTGATAACACAAAAGGTCAAGTATTAGGACTTGGGAATACCAGTTTTTCAGATCCTTTTACAGGTAAGTTAGGAAAGTCTTCTGTACGTTCATAAATGTTGGTTGATTTTTTTTTTCTTTTTGCTTTTGATGTGTTTAAACATCCATTATGATTACCTGTTTAAATAAAAACCGAGATTCAAGATCTGTAGCAGGTTTTTACTTTAAATTCATATTTTTAAACCTCAAATTATATAGTAATTCTATATTTATAGAAACAATTATATGTTGTTCCTTTTTTTTAAATTTATTTTATTTTTTTTTTAATTTTATTTTTTATAAACATATAATATATTTTTATCCCCAGGGGTACAGGTCTGTGAATGTTCCTTTTTTTTTTTTTTTTAAGATTTTATTTATATATTTGACAGAGAGATCACAAGTAGGCAGAGAGGCAGGCAGAGAAAGAGGGGGAAGCAGGCTCCCTGCTGAGCAGGGAGCTCGATGTGGGGCCCAATCCCACGACCCTGAGATCATGACCTGAGCCAAAGGCAGAGGCTTTAACCCACTGAGCCACCCAGGCGCCCCATGTTGTTCCTTTTCAAGATTTTGTTTATCATTTATTTTAGAGACAGGGACCATGCAGATGAGGTGGAGGTGGGTGGTGGAGGGGCAAAAAGAGATGAAGAGAATCTCTTTTTTTTTCTTTTTGAGAGGAAGAGAATCTCAAGCAGACTCCATACTGAGCACAGAGCCAGACATGGGGCTTAGTCTCATAACCCTGAGATCATGACCCGAGCTGAAATCAAGAGTTGAACGGGTAACTGATTGAACCACCCAGGCGTCGCTTTTCCCTTTCAAAAATACAGCCACACTGTAAACTAAATAAAACTATGAAAATTTAATTTAGTCATATGAAATGAAAAGAAACTCAGAAGTTCCTTTATATAGTTACTCCTTTTAAAAATACATGTTTTGGTGAATTTTAGTAAGTAAATTCTTTTCACATGAGGCTAAATTGGTTAGTTGGGCATCAAATCTAGGATTGAACTATGGGCAGTTTTAGTTTTCATGGGATTTGTGTTCCACATAATGACTTTTAAGTCAGTTTATAATATAGTGTACGGTGTCTAAAATATTATAAATGGGGACTTGAGGGGAGGCAGGGAAGGGCAAGAAAAACAAATGTAAATGGCATTAGGCTCTTACACCAGTCTATAGATTATAATCCTAGTAGTATTAGTCTGAGGCTTTTTTCCCAGGAAATGGATTATAACACTCCTTTTTCTAAAGAAAAAGGACCCTGAGTTTTGGGTCCTGGGAACTGAGGCTATGGTACAGGAGGAAATAAAATGCTTCCTTTTTTCTTAGGTACAGGGCCAGCTCTCAATAAAATTCTGAAATTAGTACTTTATTATTAGTATTTTCCTGTTGTCATTTCTCATGTGCTAGTGCTCCTCCTTGTTTTCCAAGGCTGCCGTATCCCTTCCTGTCTTCTTCCCTCACTGATACTTAACACTCCTGTTATCTCTTCTTTCTCTATTTCAAAATTCCATTGCCCATTCACCTAATAAAGGTAATGTCACCTGCATGTTGACTTAAACAGAATTATCAGACTGACTCACTACTGAATATAAATGATGTAACCCCTCCTAAAAGTTGCACTTGACAAAAAAAAAAAAAACAAAAAAAAAAAACTGTTTATAGGGCCTGGGTGGCTCAGTGGGTGAAGCCTCTGCCTTTGACTCAGGTCATGATTTCAGGGTCCTGGGGTCGAGCTCCACATTGGGAATCTCTGCTCAGCAGGGAGCCTTCTCCCGCCACCCATCCACCTCCCGCCCCCGCCTCACTGCCTACTTGTGATCTCTGTCTGACAAATAAATAAAATCTTAAAAAAAAACAAAACTGTGTTTATTATCTGGGTATTCCGTTGGTGGAATTTCAGGCCACAGCACAAAAGAGCGAACACATGATTATAGTCTTGTGTCAGCGATTTTGTGAAGTGGAAGACCGATACTAGAGCAGCTGGCTCCGTCTGGAAATCTTAACTCTGGCTTTCTTTGCTCTTCCGAATCTCTAACTTTAAAGCATCCTTTTATATATATCTTTTACATATATATCTTTTGCATCCTTTTATATATATCTTTCCTATTGTAGACACCTCTGATTATTTCCCCAGAGGTACTAACAAAACATATAGTCACACACACCGCACATTTGTGTAAGTATAAATCAAGAGTTTGTGGCACTCATCGCCTTCGTGTAATTCTCTTCTCCAGTGGGTTGTAAGCTTCGATGGATACAAGCAATCTTGTTCTCAGCTGGATCCCCAGCACTATTTGACACATGAGTTAATGAATTCAGGGGTTCTCTAAAAGATTAACATTTGATGCCTGTGGTTTTGATAGCAACAGCAACAGCAGGAATTCTAGTGAATTTGTATAGGAACAGGAACTGATTATATGTGTATATTATCTAGGTCAGAGACCACCTGTGACTTCTCCTTTTAAATTTGAATTTTTAGTCATTTTAATATTTAAGGGCAGTGGCTAACACCTAATAAAGTAATAAAGTTGAGAAACCAAACTTGGAGAATCACTGAAATTTTAGTTTCTTAAGTAGTCTTTCCTACTATAAGAACTGCTGACTGAATTCTGTTATTGTATCACGTGACAGCTTTGCTCTTCTGTTTTTCCTCCAAGCTTAGTCTTCTAATGTAAGCGTTGTGCAGTTTATGAAATTCCAAAATTTTGGCATACTTCAGCTTTTCCTTTGTTTGCATACATAGGTGGTGGTCGGTATGTTCCGGGGTCTTCATCAGGATCCTCTAACACACTGCCTGCAGCAGATCCTTTTACAGGTGGGACGCAGTTTTGATAATTGTATCTTCTTCATTTAATGTATAGAATTTTGCATTATATGGATTTACATTTTGGAGACATCATCTAATAATAATTCCCTTATCTATATTCCAATTTTGATGGATCTCCTTTTCTTTAACTTCTAATTTTTGCTTTTTCCTGGAGTATTTTGTAGTTTTTGTCATGACTTTTAAATAGCGTATTATTAGAACTCATCGTTTTCTCCAGTGGTCCTTCTTGCAAGGAGAGCAAGAGTCATGAAGGGCATAGTTTTTAGAGTCAGATAGACCTTGGTTCAAAATCTGGCTCTACCACTTACTTGCTATGAGAAGTTGGCAAGTTGCTTAACCTGTCTGAGCCTATTTTTTTTATCTGTGAAATTAGATAATAGGGGAACCCACCAACCAAGACACAGCATGAGTGGTATTACTGGCGAGATTCTACTGATCACAAGCAAAGAAGGAGCCATGTGATTCCCTGATACTGGATGAAGCCGTGCAGTCAAGAAGTCTGTTCAGGCATATTGTGCCTTAGCATGGAAGAACACAGTCCACCCAGGATTATTTCTTCTAGTCTGTGTTATTAATGGCCCTCATGAAGCCCTGGAAGTGTTGGTGTATCACTTCACAGTGACTTTATTTACCAAGGTATGCATGCCTCGGCATCAACACTACTGGGAAACAATTGCCAAGCTGGGACTTGAATGCAGCTGAAGAAGTCTCTGTTTTCAGAGTAGCTTTTGTCATATTTTATGATGCTGTTGTTGGATCATCAGCCAGAGTTCCTCGACAACATACCCAGTTTGGGAAGAGATTATTGGCACTTAGAGTATCCACTGGCCTTGCATAGATTTCTGTCTAAACCATAAATTGGACCAACACACAACCTTCGGTCACTATCATGAAGTTGTGAATCGCTCTCAGTGAGCTTCTTCTCTCCTGTGAATGAATTGGTGGCCCAGATGCCCTTAGCTGCACGCTGTGCATTGGTAACCAGTATGCTATAATCACCGTCTATCAAGATCAAGCTAAATGTTGTGATGGCACAGTGGCTATTAAGGAAACCCTTGATGACATAATGCAAATTCAAAAAGGTATTAAGGATCTGAAGAGTAGATAAGGCGATGACTTATTCAAGACATAGTGATGCCCTGAAACTTAGAACAACGTAGTTCTCAGACCTCATTAGCAGCTTTTTCTTGGAACAGAAAGAAGCTTCAAGCAATAGCAACCAAATCAAGAGAACTCCTGAGGCCATCATCACTGGAGCATGTCTCACTATTGCACAATGTCAGTAACTCAGAAGATTCAGTGATTATGGAGATATGCAAGATAGCATACTAACCATCCAAGAGAATTGAGGAGTTACTAGGATAACTGAACCACACTATTATTAAAAACAGATAATAGTACCTACCGTATTGAGATGTTATGAAAATTAAATGGTATAGTACATGTGAAGTTTTTAGCAAAATGACCAGACTATATTTAAGCCTTCAGTGTTTTTAGTATATATTCCCCCAATTTTACCAGTAGCACTGGGACAAAGAGTTTTTCCCATTCAGCTTATAGTTTAAGGTCAGTCTTTCTTTTTTTTTTTTTTTTTAAGATTTTATTTATTTATTTGACAGAGAGAGATCACAAGTAGACAGAGAGGGAGATTACAAGTAGGTGGGGGGGGTCGGGGTGGGGTGGGAAGCAGGCTCCCTGCTGAGCAGAGAGCCTGATGTGGAGCTCCATCCCAGGACCCTGAGACCATGACCTGAGCCAAAGGCAGAGGCTTAACCCACTGAGCCACCCAGGAGCCCCAAGGTCAATCTTAATTCTCTTTTCTATTCCTTATTTATGTGCTTCTCAAACTTCCAATGTCAGTTAGGATCACCTGGGATGCTTGTTTAACTCATCATAAGGTCCTTCCCACAGAGATTATTCTGATACTCTAGGTTGGTGAGGAGGTAAAAATTACTCATGCCCTGATCTCACCCATGGATGCTGATTAAATGTTCTTTGTTGTTTGGTTTGTCATTAGTAATTTTAAAAGCACCTTATACATTTTTAAAGTGAATCCAATTCAGAGAACCAGTAGGCTGTTATGGGTGGGCTCTAGGAATCTGCATATTGAACAGGTGACTCTCACGTGGTTGAAGAACCACATTTAGAAGAGTGTAGGATCATACTTCGCCTCATAATTAATGCCTTGGACAAGTTCTTCAGCTTTCTTCTAAAATACTGTTAATAATAATGGTATCTAATTGATATTTAAATGAGTATACAAATATAAGATGCTTAGCATGAGGGGCACCTGCGTGATACAGTCAGTTAAATAACCAGTTCTTGGTTTCAGCTCAGGTGGAGCTCTCAAGGTCATGAGATCAAGCCCTGCCTCGGGCTCCATTCTGCTTGGTTTTCTTCTCCCTCTGCCCTTCCCCTTGCATGTGCCCACGCACGCACACTCTATCTTTTTCTCTCTCCTACAAATAATAAATCTTTTTTAAAAAGATGCCTAGCATGCTACCTAGTATATTAGTAAAAAACAAAAAAGCCTCTTATTCTGTGTTCTTCATTATTTTAATCTATTTACATCTGCAGTTTTGGGGTTTTTTTCTTTTGTATTGTTTGCTTCTTCTATATGTGTTACAGCAGTTATACTAACTCCTAGATATTAAATTCAGAGGAGCTGGAAAAGTAGCTCATCTTCTTCCCATGAGGGCTGATCCAGGACTCTGAACATCTCCTAATCCTGCTGATTCATTCTCTACACTGTTTTTTCATGTTCCTTTCTTTCCATTTTCAATGAGAATCCACAAGTAGGATCCCAAATATGAGACAGTGCTATTAACATAGCATCCCTAAATCTTATCTAGTCTCTTTTTTGCTTATGTATTAGCTAATCCTATTTCAGTAGAATAATGTTCACATTTTTTATTGTTTTTAATATTTTAAGGTTTTCTTTTTATGTAATCTTTGTACCCAGTGTGGGACTTGAACTTAAAACTCTAAGATCAAGACTCTAATGCCAGCCAGGCACCCCACGTTTACGTTTCATTATGGAAACCTTTTAATTTCTTCTGTCCAATCCACTGATGCTTTTTCAATTCATTACTATCTATAATTATAATGTATAAGGCATCTAATGTTTATTTTGTAATTTGAGAATTACTTTTAAGACTAACATTTATCACCAACTATATGCCAGGTACTATTCTAAACAAATTCATAGCCCATTTATTATGTGTATAAAATGCCATTCTGAACTGTGACTCATATTGAAAATAAGTTACTCTGTATAGAAAGGAACATTTTGAACTTTAATTTGCAGTTACCTTTGCTTACTAGATGTGTCACTGCATTTCAGGTGGTGGTCGTTATGTGCCAGGGTCTGCCAATATGGGAACTACCATGGCTGGAGTTGATCCATTTACAGGTATACACTTGTCTACTTTTCGTTTCTTTTTCTTTTTCTTCTTCTTCTTCTTTTTTTCTTTTTTAGATTTTTAAAATTTACTGGAACTTTTATTTAATGAAAGATCGAGAAATCTGGTATCTTTTTCTTGCTAGAGAACTTTTCATATAGTAGATGAAGACCAAATTTCCCGACCTGGCTTTTAGAGTATTCTCAGAATTGTGGCATACTGCATATTAGACCCACGTAGGAAGCTTAAAAAAACCTCATCTCCAGAGATGCCCACTGAGTCTATTGCTGCCCTGGTTTGGGGCCTCGGCAAGTATAGTTTTCATAATCTTCCAGTGTGATTCTAATGTGTAGCCAGGATTAAAATCTGCTTTTCTGTCATAGGTCTGGTCTTCTCACCACCCTTACAAAACCTGAGGGTTATTTTTTGTGGGTTTTTTTTTTTTTTTTTTTTTTGCGTCTCTCCTTTGTTCATTCTTAATGTATTGAGAATGTTCTTCAGGGGCGCCTGGGTGGTGCAATTGGTTAAGCATCTGTGTTGGGCTCAGGTCATGATCCCGGAGTCCTGGGATTGAGTCCTACATCAAAATAAATAAATAAAATATTTAAAAGAAAGAGAATGTTATTTACTGTGCTCCATGTTCTGTTTAAGAGGACCCAGAAAAAAATTTGCTGTTGTGATTTAGGCCTGTGCTATCTGATCTTCTCCTGACCAGCTAACTTTTCTTTTTTATTCTTAGTATCTTGCCTAGAGTCTGACACATCTTACTTGTTCATCATGGTTGAATATAGGCGGACATGCTTCCCTCTTTTTGACTGTTAATAAAATGCAGGACTAAATTTGTGGTTCAATTCTTGAAAGTTTGACACCTATCCTGTCCTGTGTTTTCCCTACTTGTTATTTTCTACAAGAGACTAATATATGTGGAACATATATGTTCTTGACCATAATAAAATATATACTTGCAAACCAGCCCTCTAAGAACCAACTTGGTATGTGATGATTTTTGTAAGCTCTTTTTTCATTGCCAAACTAACCTGAGTGGTGGTATTGAAGTATAACATAATGATTAAGATTGAGGACTCTGGAGTGAGAATGCTTAGATTCAAATCTCTGTTCCACTAATTTTTACCTGTTTTGCCTTGAGCCAGTTATTCTGTTCCTGTGCCTCTGTTTTTCCCATTTGTAAAATTGAAGTAATAATCTACCTCATGGAGTTGTTAAGAGTTTACTAAAATTACAAAATGTATATAAAGCACTTTATGCAGAATAAATGCTTAGTAATTGTTAGCTGTAGCTGTTGTATTAGAAAAGAGTCTGAAGTTAACCGTGCTTGCTGCCATTTTTCAGAAGTTAGAGTTTTTAACAGTTGGGTACATATGCTGGACTTTATATACGTTCGTCCACCTTATTGTCATCTCTTACTTAGACAGATGAAGTAATATCCTCCACATTGCTCTCTACATGAGCTGTACTGCAGCCAGTGATCATTTTACAGTCAAACTTCGTTTATACTCTCATTGATTAAAACCCTTTAATGGTTTCCCATTGAATATTTTTTCTTGGCTTCCTCTCTGCCTTTTTTCTACCCAGGCTTACTGGCCTGTTTCAGGTTCTTGAGTATCCCATGCTATTTTCTCAGGAGTTTGGTAGATGCTGTGCTGTTTTAGAATACTTGAGCCCTTTGCTTTGTTATTTAGACCACAAATTACTGTTTGGCTTTTTCTTGTTTTTTTTTTTAATTTAATTTTGGAATATAGTATTTATTAAATGATATTTCCTGGGCATTCAGATATGCCCTCTGCTGGATCACGTACGCTATCATAAGCTCTCATTGCACTCTGTACTTTTCCTTCTTGTTTTATCTCATTGTTTGAATGGTATTTGATTTGCATTCTCCTTACCACAACGAGACTCTAGTGACTAGGACTTCAGGCAATGTCTTTTAGCTCGTCTTTGATCACACCAATAAATATTTTATGCTTTTTAAGCAATTAAAATTAATTTTGTGTATTTATCTCATAACTTAATCTTTACCTATCTTATTCCCGTTTCTGATATATTCAGAAAATTTAAATGTTTTATACATATTTTTGCAAAATATCTTAATTTTTGCATTGGGACAAAAATAAGATTTGGAATGCAGATAAAATAAAAATTAGGTTTAATTATGCTTTAATTGACTTTAGTCACTATGTATTTTACTAAATTTTCATCCTTGGCCAGTTGTTTGTCAGACACTGCATTTTGGTCACTATAATAGGAACTTAGGAAGTAAAAATGCATAAAAGAGGGACGCCTGGGTGGCTCAGTTGGTTAAGCGGCTGCCTTCGGCTCAGGTCATGATCCCAGCGTCCTGGGATCGAGTCCCACATCGGGCTCCCTGCTCAGCAGGGAGCCTGCTTCTCCCTCTGCCTCTGCCTGCCACTCTGTCTGCCTGTGCTCTCTCTTTCTGACAAATAAATAAATAAAATCTTTAAAAAAAATGCATAAAAGATTAGGACACTTTCCCTTTAGGAAGCTACATCTTGGGGAGATTTATTAAAATGATCATATGGCCTTAGTATTTCTGTGACTGACTGCCTTCACATAGCATGATATGTTCTCTAGCTCCATCCAAGCCATTGGAAATGGCAAGATTTCATTCTTTTATTTATGGCTGACTAATATTCCTTTGTATATATATATACCACATGTTCCATAGGATTTCACTCATAATGTGGAATTTAAAAAATTCCACAAATGAGCAAAGGGGAAAAAGAGAGTCAAATCAAGAAACAGACTCTTAACCATAGAGAACAAACTGATGGTTACCAGAGGGGAGGTTGGTGTGGGTATGGGATAAACAGGTGATGGGGATTAAGGAATGTACTCATGATGAGCACCAGATGGTGTATGGAAGTGATGGATCACTGTATTGTACACCTGAAACCAATATTACACTTTATGTTAACTAACTGGAATTTGAATAAAAACTTATAAAAATAAATAAATGATGGAGAAAATGACAATACCTACTATATCATTTGGAATAAGCAGTAAAAGACATGAGAAGAAAGAGATCAATATGCCTTACTTAAGATGGGAATGGAAGGTTTCATAATTGTGTATTCTTTGATCTTTTAAAACTTATTTAGATTGAATCTTAGAAGTATGAGGGATGTAGAGAATATGAAATGGAAAGGCTTTTGTTTTACATTTAAGCTCCCAGTCCAAAAACTAAAATTTATTACATCAACAAATATAATCAATTTATAAAATCTTATGATTTTCTTTTTTCTGATTTTATTGCATGCACTGAGTAGTTACATATCTCAATAATTGTGAAAACAAAGTCCTACAATTAGAAGAATCTCAGTTTTGTCTAGTCCTTATGATTTTAATCATCTTCTGTTCTGTAAATAGGGAATAGTGCCTACCGGTCAGCTGCATCTAGAACAGTGAATATTTATTTCCCTAAAAAAGAGGCTCTCACTTTTGACCAGGCAAACCCTACACAAATATTAGGTAAGTGCATTTTAATTAAATAGTTTTCTCACATATCCATAGACTCTTTGCAGTGCACTCAAGACTGTTTCTCCTCCTCACATGAGCTAGGAACTGGGTGCTTACATGATAGAGACTTCTGTTGTGGGATTACAAAACTGCGTCGACTGCAAATACACAGTCTGATAATGGACCCTTAATACTTGCAAGAAGCCTTATACAAATATAAGGTAAATGCTTTATGATGATTTTAATGAAAAAAAAACTGAAAGGGAAAAATATAAATCCCATTCCCTGAAATCTTAATGTTTTCAGGAAAAAAAAATGATGAAGACAAATGAGTAAAGCGTTTGAACAATAAGAATTTTCTCTTAAGAAAATTAGTTGCCCTTAGAAATAATAATAAAAGGCTGTTCAAATTGTCCATTAAAATGAAACTGCTCAGTTGACTTTAAATGCTTTTTCTGTTAACTTGTTTCTCTCAAAACAAAATGGCAGGTGCTTTTTGGACTGAGAATACTAGCTCTGTTTGCCACTACTACTTCATGAGAATTGAGATAAGATAACAGATACATCTCAATATAAAATAGGGGGTTTTTGGTCAGAATGAACCTTCATATTGTCTTTATAAAAATCATTCATAAGGGGTGCCTGGGTGGCTCAGTCCATTAAGCTTCTGACTCTTGATTTTGGCTTAGGCTGTGATCTCGGGATTCAGAGATTGAGCCTCATGTCGGGCTCCACACTCAGCAAGGAGTTTGCTTGAGGTTCTCTCTCTCCCCCGCCCCTGGTCTCTTACACTCAAGCTAAAATAAATAAATAAATCCTTTAAAAAATTGTTTCATGAAATGTGAATATGGTAACAAAAGACAGTATTTCCATCAAATATGTTTTTAAAGTAATGTGATGTCAAAAGCACATATGGAACTAAGTTAATAAATTAAATATTATAAATAGACATTTAACTCTTCAGTTAATTCATTAACAATCATAGACGTTGACATAAGTTGGCTAAAAGCCATTATAAATTTTTTCTTTGAGGAAATAGATTGACTTGACTTAGACTTGGGTATAATGACATGATGTTGCTTTGAAAATCAAAAAATTACAAGTTCGATCTACTTTAAAACTTACTTAAAGCAGAGTTTCATAAGATCCTAGAAAATAAAGGTAAAATAAAAATCATCACAGTAACCTTTCTTTTCTTTACTGTGCTCAACGAATAACACTCATAGGCCTTATCCTTATTTTATGGTATTTGATAATTGCCCTGAAAAGTCTTACCTTCCCCTTGGTATATGGTGGAATACTCTTACTGAAAATTTTGACATTTTTATATTACATTTGGTTAATTAGAGAATTTTAAAAGTTTGGGTTCGGGTTCTAGGTAAACTGAAGGAACTTAATGGAACTGCACCTGAAGAGAAAAAGTTAACTGAGGATGACTTGATACTTCTTGAAAAGATACTGTCTCTCATATGTAATAGTTCTTCAGAAAAACCCACAGCCCAGCAACTTCAGATTTTGTGGAAAGCTATTAACTGGCCTGAAGGTATGGAAACAGTCTTTAAAATGTAATTAAAAAGCAGTAAGTGTATCTTTTCATTTCTAACAGTATTACTGGTATTTCCAGATTGAGTAAAAGTAACCCTGGGTAGTTGTAATTCATAGTCTTGATTTGGTCTCATGCCTTATGAGAATCTGAATGGAACGTAATGAACCCCATCCATGTACCATTTCATCCATTTCAGAGCTTTTCTGGATCCCTTGCAAACCACCCAGGAACGTTTTGTAACCTATTAACCCAGGTTATGAATGTCTGCTATAATTATTTTTTTAACTCACTTAATTCTTTTTAAATTCCAAAAATGTCCTCTCCCTTATTATTACTTTTTCATGCTATTGATTAGAGAAGAAAAATCATATGTCCTGCTTAATATCCCATATTGTGAATTTGGCAGATCACTTAATGTGTTCCACTGTCTCTATAGTTCCTGCTAGACATAAGTAGATTCTGGTTCAATAGATTTTTTTTAGGTGAATATCCTTTATAAATGATGCTGCATACTACCTTTATATCACAGGGCACATAATTTCTGGATTCCTTACTTTTAGTATGCTAAGATTATAGAGTGCGTTCATTCAGATGGTGTCTGCGCAATCCTTGGAATGTAAAGCCCTCCACCAACCTGTAAACATCCTATTAGCATTTGTCCACTGGAATTCTATTAAAAAATACTTCCCCTCTAGGGACACCTGGGTGGCTCAGTTGGGTAAGTATCTGACTCTTAATTTCAGCTCAGGTCACGGTCTCGGGATTGTGAGATCTAGCCCCGATCTGGGTTCTGCACTAGCCCCTAATTGGACTCTACAATAAGTGTAGAGCCTGCTTAAGATTTTTCCTTCTCCTTCCCTGCACCTCCCAACTCACTTCCAGTCATGTGTGCACTTTCTTTCTCTCTTCAAAAAAAAAAAAAAAAAAAAAAAAGCTTCCCCTCTTCAACTCTTTGGTCTTTTTAAAAGCAAAGTCCCCATCCCATTCATTCCACAAGGATTTAGTGAATACTCAGTATGTATCAGGCTAGATAATCACCCATTTAAATTAAATTATCTTTAAAGCATGTATGATCTTGTAGCAATAAATCCACTCTCTATAAATAAGAAAAATTAATTAACAAAAGTTGAGGAATACATGTATTTTGTAAATCAGGCACATGGTTTTTAACATTTTCTGAAATGGTCGTGTGTTAATGAAATAAGATTCTTAAAACTGAGTAACAGTCATAGGAATTTTCTGGGTTTTTATAAACATTAATGAATTTTTCTTTTTAATAGATATTGTCTTTCCTGCACTTGACATTCTTCGGTTATCAATTAAACATCCCAGTGTGAATGAGAACTTCTGCAATGAGAAGGAAGGGGCTCAGTTCAGCAGTCATCTTATCAGTCTTCTGAACCCTAAAGGAAAGCCAGCAAACCAGCTGCTTGCTCTGAGGACTTTTTGCAACTGTTTTGTTGGCCAGGCAGGACAAAAGCTCATGATGTCCCAAAGGGAATCACTAATGTCTCATGCAATAGAACTGAAATCAGGGAGCAATAAGAACATTCACATTGCTCTGGCTACATTGACCCTGAACTATTCTGTTTGTTTTCATAAAGACCATAACATTGAAGGGAAAGCTCAGTGCTTGTCAGTAATTAGCACAGTCTTGGAAGTTGTACAAGACCTAGAAGCCACTTTTAGACTCCTTGTGGCTCTTGGGACACTTATCAGTGATGATTTAAATGCTGTACAGTTAGCCAAGTCTTTAGGTGTTGATTCTCAAATAAAAAAATATGCCTCAGTATCAGAACCAGCTAAAGTAAGTGAATGCTGTAGACTTATCCTAAATTTACTGTAACAATGGAGATGTGGCTGAGATTTTAAATTGATTAGTGTTTTTTCTCACATTTTACATGACTGATTACAGATGGTAAAAAAAAAAAAAAGGCTGTGGATTAAGTAAAATTTCAGATCTTGTAAAGTGGGGGTAAGAGGAGACAAAGAAGAAATAAAATTTTTGCACTGATGAACTGTGAGATTTTCCTGTGTGATGTGGGTAAGTTTTCAGGAGTTTAGAAACAAATTAAGAATGAGCTAAAATCAGCAAGAACACAACTGCTACAGTGGCATAATGGCCATACCTTTGCCACATAAGAACTTTTATTTATATAATCTGCTTTTACTACTTATATACCCCAAAATGTTACTTGTCCGTGGTTGACTTTTATTTAACTACTGCTGTACTCATTTTTATTGCTGATTCTTTTAACAGCACCGATATATTTCAAGGCCTTATTTTGATAAGTACTTTGGAATTTTCAAAAGTTAAGTTTTGTTATAAATTATTCCATATATTGAAAAGATATAAAATAATTTCTTCATTTAAGTTACTTGTAAATAGAAATTATATTTGTTTGATGGCTCATTTGTAGATGAAGGAAAAGCAACTGACTAAGCTGTATTAGGTTGTATATCAATTCAGAAAGATAAGATCCCAAATTAACTCCAAGTTTATGATCCAGTTTCTTTCACCCCTCCGTATTTGAGGTAACTTCATTATTCATTCTAGTTTTGATACTAGTTTATTTTTGGTCATTTCCATTGGTCTCAAAGGGAATTTGGAATGTGTTGAATTTTATCAAGCAACCGTGCAAGCAATAACAATGTTACTGGCAAGTTCAGATCCTATCATGTAAAACTGGTATTTTTGAGCTCCTAACATGGTCTGGGCACGGGGCTAACCACTTTGATATTTAATTTCCAAAACCCCTTAGATGAAGGGTGATGGTGTCTCTGTTTTCAGAAGTAAATATAATGGGAGGAATCATAATGGGATAAAAAAAGTGCATACCATACTACTAGAGAGAGGCATCACAAATTTATCTCTGAACATCCTAGCAGTTAACACAAAGGAGAAACCAGCACTTTAATTATGTAATTTAATGTGTTTACGAGAACTTGAGTTTCTTAAGAGAAGCATAACTATTCCAATTTTTTAAAGTGGGAAAGATCTTTTCACAAAGAGGACTTTGCATAAAATAGTGGCAGCATTCTCAACATTTATGGTATACAAAACCATCAGTTTACTGACTTAATGACAAATTGCAAAGAACAATTCTTCCCTAATAAGAGAGGAAAGATTTTTGACCATTGTATTGATTCAAGGAAAAACTTGAAATATCAAAAAAAAATGGGTAAAATAGAGGGGATGTGTATTTTGCTGAGTATTAAATTGCAACTTTGTGATGTGTACTCAGATTTTAAAAATTCTGTTGGCTGGCTCATTAGGAACCTTTGCTTTACTTTTTGTTGAATTGGGATTTAGATGGTTAAGTCAAAATTAAATGGAAAAGTTAAGAATTTAACCCAGGTGAGCCTGGTTCCATTGCAATATACTGCTTTCTCGTGAACATGTGCAGTCTAGCATACAGTTTTAAGTACAGACGATTTATCTACGTATTTTGAAATACTAGGTAGAACCTTTGAATGATGGGAGGACATTAAGAACATGAGTTCATTCTTCAAATTGTAAGGCGTGGCAAATTGTAAACACTGTTTGCTTCTTATAGTGTACAAATCTTTACAACAACTTTATAATATTAGTATTTCATGTTTATTAAAAAATTATAAAATACAATTTATCTAAAGAAAAAAGATAATCCCACTTGAGAAATAAGTGTTATATGATGGTTTTGTGATATTTTAAAGCCTTTTTCAGTTTTTTTCCCCCATGATTCCCTTAATATTTTTTTGTGAATATAAAAACATATATTCATCAAATAAAACACACATCAAATAAAAATTGCCTGTAATCCCACCACCCAGACAGAACCATTCTTAATGTCTTGTGGCATATTAGTAGGTATGTAAACATGCTTTTTTTCTTAAGAGACTGTGTGATACACATTGTTCAATAACCTGATTTTTAAACTTGACATACAGTATGCATATCTCCACCTTAATAAATACAGTACATTATATGGATATATCCATTTCTTATTATCCAATATTGTTTTAAATGTTCAGCTATCAAGCAGACTCAAACAAATATCCTAAGTGTCTTACTAGTTCCTTAAGCTATATTTTACACATGGAATTGGTGGGCCAAATTAATACACATTCTTTAGACTTGATACAGGCTGTCAAGTCCCCTACAGTGGTAAAAGTATTGGAGTTAATGTCCATATTGCATTTGAAAGACAGTTGCCTGCAAAAGACATACTATTATCTTGATTTCAGAACTATTATCCTCCATCCGGCATCACATTTTTTAAATGAGCATGCTTCTGTTGTGATCCCCCAACTCCCCTGCTCTAATTTTGCTACTGCCAGCCCATGGGAGTTGCAGTTTATGACTAAATAGCAATGCAGTGATATTTTAACCTACCTCATGTTCCTTTTAAATGATGGAAGAAGCATAGCTAAAAACAGATTTTTCACAAATTCTGGGGATGAGACTGGGACATAGCTTCCTTAGCAGTTATCACTGTGTATCTATGGTTATTTTGTTAAGAAATGATAAAATAGGGGTGCCTGGGTGGCTCAGTGGGTTAAAGCCTCTGACTTCGGCTCAGGTCATGATCTCAGAGTCCTGGGGTCGAGCCCCACATCGGGATCTCTGCTCAGCAAGCAGCCTGCTTCCTCCTCTCTCTCTGCCTGCCTCTCTGCCTACTTGTAATCTCTGTCTGTCAAATAAATAAATAAAATCTTAAAAAAATTTTTTAAAAATGATAAAATGTATAGAGGGTCATTTGTGATGTATCCTATTTCCTAAAGGTCTTGAGATATAAATTACTTGAGATTAAGGAATACTATTCTGTTTTTTAAGAAGTAATTTTAAAAAATAATTTATAATCTAATTTCTAGTATATTTTTCTGTAGAAAATTGTACACAGGGTGTTAGTTTATTTGGGCTGCTACAATGAAAATACCATAGATTGGATGGTTTAGAAACGAACATTTATTCCTCACCATTCTGGAGGCCAGAAAATCCAAAATGAAGGTGCTGGCACATTCACTGTTTGATGAGGGCTCTTACGTGGCAGAAGTAGGAAGCTCTCTGGGGTCTCCCCAGAGAGGATTCCACCCTTATGACTGAATTATCTCCCAAAGGCCCCATTATGTTTGGGGTTACGTGTCAAAGTACTGAATTGGGGGGGGTGACACATTTAGTCTATAGTACACAGTGTAGTTGTGATTAAAGATAGAATTTGAAGATTTTTTCATTTAACATCATCATTCCGTGTGGTTTTCTTCAGTTTTTAAATGAAAATGTTCATACGTACAGAACAGTTCAAAGAGTACAGTAAACGCTCATTGACTTGCCAACTAAGTTCTACAGTTGTTAGCATTCTGCCATATTGGCTTTATCTCTACTACTGAAATTGCAGATATCACACTTATCAACTAAATACTTCAATATGTATCTTCTAAGAATAAGGACATTTGAAAGAATATTCATATAACTATCACTGTATTTAAGAGAATCAGTAATTTCATAATATCTAGTCCATCTCAAATTTCCTTATTGTCTCATAATACCTTTTATCACTTTTTTAAAAGGATCTAATATGAATAATCAGATTTATGTATTGTATTTGTTTGGTTATATGTCTCTTTGGTCTCAACCTAGAACAGTTTCTCCATTTTTATTTTCAATATCATTGACTTTGAAGTGTCTAGGCATTCCAGAATGCAAGGTACCCCAATTTTATATTTGTAAAACATTTCTGTAGCTTTTCTGTATTAATTACCTATGGCTGCTTAATAAATTACCCCAAAAGTAAAGTGGCTTAGAACAACACACATATACTATCTGAAATAGTCTGGGAGTGAAGAGTCCTGCCCCAACTCAGCAGGATCCTCTGTTTCTTTGTTTCACATGAGGCTACTATGAATGGTATCAGCCAGGGCTGAGGGCTGGCTCATTTGAGGGCTTGACTGGGGAAGGATGCATTTTCGAGCTCACTTATATGGTTAGTGTTCAGTTATTTTCCAGTTGTTAGATTAAGGACTTAAAATCCTAGTTGGCTATTGGCTGGAAGCTGCCCTCAGTTTTTTTGTTTGTTTTGTTTTGTTTTAAGAATATTTCCAGGGGCACCTGCGTGGCTCAGTCTGCCTTTGGCTCAGGGCATGATCCCATGGTCCTTGGATCAGGCCCTGCATTGGGCTCTCCACTCAGCAGGGAACCTGCTTCTCCCTTTGCCCCTCCCCCCTACTCCTGCTTGTATTATTTCTCTGAAACACATAAAATATTTTTTTTAAAAATTTGAAAAATGTTTTCCCTCATTTATTATTTTATTATTTATTTTTTAGAGTGGGGAGGGACAGGAAGAGGGAAAGAGAAAATCTTAAGCAGGCTCCATGCCCATTGTGGAGCCCTACGTGAGGCTTGATCTCACGACCCTGGGATCATGACTGGAGCCTAAAGCAAGAGTCAGACACTTAACTAACTGAGCCACTCATGCTCCCCTGCCCTCAATTTTTTGTTTTATCAGCTTTTCATCATGGCAAGTGGTTTCATCAAAGCCAGCAAGGGAGAGTCTGCTAGCAGAACCAAAGTCAGAATTTTTATAGTCTAGCCACAAACATGCCACCCCCTCAACATCAAGGTATTCTACTGATGGGAAGCAAGTTACTCAAGGAGAGTGGATTACACAGTCTGTGAATATCAGGAAATGATCACTGGGAGCCGCCTTAGAATCTGCCTGCCATACCTATTTCCTATAAACTAAAAGCTAAATCCAAAGATTTGGTTAGATTAAGATTAAAATATCGTCGCAAGAATACTTAATAGGTGTGTGTACTTTTTTTTTTTTTACTTGATTGCATCTTATTTGTGCTTCCTTAGAGTTTATGTTCCACTTACAATAATTAAAGGAGGTTAGGAGGACAGAATGGTGTAATTGGCCACTGACCATCATCACAGAGACAGGTGAATATTTTTAAAAAATTTTTTCATTCTACATTTTATTTTTCTAAGTGATAATCAGGTTTTGGTTGTTTAATGTTTGCATTTAGGGTGCTTGTTTTCTGGAGGTACTAAGATCCAAGTCAGATGTGGAGGATTTTGACTTGGAGGGCAACAAGTAAACCACTTTGATGCTTCTCATGGAGGAAAAGAGTCTTTAGAATACAGTGAGTAATGAAAGCTTTAAAGAGGAGAATGCCAACTAATGTCCTTCTGTAAAGTTGGTGGGCTGATACTGGTCCTAGGCCTAATATGAGGTTCTGGGACTTAAAACTTGAACGTTGGGACTCCTGAACACACTGTAATAAATCAGAAAAGTAAAACATCCAAATGGCAATGATGCTTCAGTCAGATGTAAAGGCATATGATATAGCAATGCTTACACAATTGTTTGTTAATTGAATTTAAACCAAACCAGTTAAGTAACATTGCAAAAAACAAAAATTTAAGTAAATTATAGCATGCATTAAAGAATTACTTTATACTAGTTTCAGGTTTATCCTCATCCCTATGGGGTAAGTACTATTAGTAATTTTAGAAGTTGAAGAAACTGAAAGAGGTCAAGTAACAAGTCACTAGTAACAAAACAATGGAGAATAGTATTTAATAAGTGATGTTGGCAAAGCTGGTTATCAACATGAAAAATAGCAATCTGCGGTAGCCACTTCACTTCATTATAACAGCAACTATGGCTAGTAGTGGCATGTATGCTTCATACATAGAACACAAGGTTACCTGAAATAAGCTCTCAAACAAATTTCATTCTTGTGTCTCCAAAGGAACTAAAAAATTCAATAAATGTTTACATATTTGTACATCATTTAAAATTTTCAATAGTTAAGAGAACCCGTGAAAGAGTACTTGC